CTTCGATCAGAAGGTGGATATCACTGATGTATCTGTGGGCTCTAAAATAAAGCAGAGAAACAACTGGCTTTGCTCTGCCCTCTCTAAAGCTTACAAATGAACACACAGTACGGAGTAATGATGGAACAGGACGACATGTTTCAATTTAGTTAAAATGAAACGAACTGAAATTTGCTTTTGACAACCATCAGCCAACAAGCAGCCCCCCCACAATTAAGTCAAAGCACCAAAACTAGACAGAAAACACTCTGATCATTACCCCCATTAACTAGTGACGGCTTCACCATCACCACCCCCTGGGTGAAAGTTCCCCCACACTTCCAGAGCGCTTTTCACACTCACAGCCGTAGTGAAATATGAGCTTGTGTGTTCAAGTGCTGCGGGAAACCTTTGATTTTCTGTTCTGACAGCTGTCCTGGGCTGCAGAAAAATAGAACCCTCCAAAGTCACTGAAAGAGGATACTCAACGGCTATTGATTGCAAAAAAGGTAGAGAAGCGGAGTGCTTGCGATTTGCGTGATCCCCGGCTTGCATTTGGTTTTGAATTACGCCAACAACTGCTTTAAATTGCTTTCGGAGTGGCCCCTTGTAGTTAAAGAGAGAAAGCGCCCGGTAACCTCCGACTGTAATCCAACGCCACCAGAGGAAGCTTTGCTTACAAAGTCAGTGTTGTGCACCGGGGGCTCAGGGAGGGGGGGATTCAAACCATGATGCTGAGCCGATTTGAAGTCTCTCAATTACCCTGATCAGCCAGATAAGAAACTTGTTGGATTATGTTTTCACCCCTTTATCTAACTGGTTTGCGGTTGCCAAACATCTACCTGCTTTGAAACGTATCTAGCGTGGCGCTGGCAAAACTGGCACGCCTCCGTTGCCCCTGGATACGGGTGTTTCGGGATGGTGTGTTCACAGACTCTGACCCTTCTGGCCTTTGGGACGAGCAACAGACGAGGCGGTTTAAAAAAAAGTAGTTTATTATGACAGTACCTTTCACGAATAGTTCTGATAAAAAAAATGAAAAAAAAGACATCTGCCTTTGGCGTGCCACAATACCCTTTCACTATGAAGGACAAAGCACGCAAGCTCTTCTGTTGGCCAGAAGAACGTGTTCCCCGCGCCTTCAAGGTTAGTGAACGCTGGAGCGCATCCCGGCGCAAGAAGATGGGCTTTATCTTCAGCGAACGTGTTGTCCTTTTGTTTGCTCTAACGTTGAGACGGACACCATTACAACCCCAAAGAGAAAAGATTATTCTCCCCATGCAACATAACTGCGTTTGAGGATTCTACTGCGGCTTTAGCGCAGTTTCAAAAGCCACAACATCTGCTGTGTTGACCACTAAGTGCTTTTTGTGACTTAAATCTGCTTGTAATCAGAATGGAGACTCTTCGGTCCCGCCTTCCTGTTGTTTGACTAACAGCGCCGATTCCGAGGAGCTGCAGACTCACGGCCAACGAGTTAAAACATCCTCATACGATCGGGAACATCAAGTTTCTTTCACCACCAAACCACACTTTTCACGAGGTTCCTTCTTGAAAAATACATAGTTATTCATGTGAGGAAATCTGGTTTGAAATCCTCAAAACGATCTCAAGTCAGTCTGCCTACGCCCTGTTTTCTTCAGTGTCACTCACCATGTTGGTAAATTAGAGTCTGCGCTCCTCTTTAAGCGCTGTAACTCATCTCCAAAATGCTTACAGCGAAGACTCCTCCCGACAGACGTAAGCTTTTTCTACATCAGCTGCATTACTTTTTTGGAAAACAATATAAATAAAAAAAGAGATTCATTTCATTTCATTAGCTTATTGCTTGCCTCAATATTTACCCGCTCGCAGCGCGTGATGTAACTTAAACACCTAACACAACTAGGGCATGCGTTTTGGATAATTACTACACTGGAGGCATAAAGATTTCTGGCGGCATTAACTACAGTGAGCGCCAACGCAAAAGAGATAACTATTATGAGCAGTTGCGTAAAACAGAGATCATTCAGGTCCTTCTTAAGGAGCGTAGTCTAAAACAACTAAGGACTTTTATGGAATTTAGAGAAACATAACTTAACTTATTAGAAAAGGCACAGTTGATGGGCACGTTTCCCGGGGAAACAAATGTAATGTAACTAATTAGTTCGGGTATTGAGTAATTAGTAATATTAGGAATGTTTGAATGAGCAACTGTATTGATCATACATGGAATGGTTCATTCCAATGGTTAATAATATTGGTTAAGTACGGTAATCTAAAAATAGTCAGCAGCCGGTAGCAAAGGCACCTCAGAAGCGCTGTCAAGAAAAGCAGAATTCACTGCTTCTCTTATCTTAGTTGACACAAGCGCATTCCTGACATAAGAAGGCTCCCTAACGGAGCACATGGGTGAACTTCAGCTGAAGGGCAAAAAAACGGAAGGTGTTATATTCATGTTTTTGTCTCACACTCTTCTTCGCGACGCACTTCAGATCCAAAGGTGATCACAAGCACTTCAGCCCGAAGCGAAGTGAGATGAAAGGACGCTTCCTAAAGACGAGGCCACACTGAAGCGTTTATCCATAGAAAAGTAACAGATGTTGCAACCGACCGATTGTCTCCGCAGTCTCCTGTCAAGACACAAGTCATATTTGGTCATATATGTGCGGGCGGGACAATAATTGTTTTTTTAACGGTATTTCACACAAGAGGATTGTAAAATCTAGAGTCCCGGCTCCTTGGGCAGAGATTATTTTGCTCATTGGAGGCTAAAAGGTTTTTCTTCCTTTAATCCCCAGAGGGGCCGTGATGCATTTCGTAGCGGGGAGGGGGGGGTCGGGGGGTCGGGGGGTGACGGGATTGGGGTCACGGACCTTTTGCGATACGCAACTCTGAATGCTGAAAGACAATTAGGATGCATTTCATTTCACAATGTCGCCTCGGCTCACGCTCGTCCTTGCTTCCCTCTCGACGCGTACAGAATAACGTCCAAGTCCTCCCGCTAAAAAGGCATCCATTGCTGGGTCGTTTTTTTTTTTTTTGTTATTAAAAAAGGAATCATTGAAATGTCGGCGTCACGCGGAGCCTCGTTTGTTAATCTGTCAAAAGGCCCGATGATGAGAATTCAAATGAGAGCCCAGAGGTTACCGTACGAGCCTTTTCCAGTCCAGAGTCCACAACTCTCAGGCAATCAATCTGACAAGCCTGCACATGCATTTAACGCATCGGCTCGGAATAGCTCGCTTCAAATATAAAGCCCGTTTGCCAAATTTCACATTTGGCTGAACACAAGAAACTGCACGACGGCAGATCATGTCTTGGTTTTTTTTTCCCCCCCAAATCCAAAAAAAAAAAATGTGCCTGGCTCGAGTCCTCTTTCCATCTCCCGTATAAAAAGGTGGTCATTTCACACACAGAAGGGTTTTAATATACGAGCGGGCCAAGCCGTGACCGGGGAGAAAAACACTGTCCGTGACAAGAATCTGATCACAGGGAGGAGCGAATGTGTCTGCAACAGAGACAATATAATATAACTACAGGCCCTTATTGTGCAACGCTCCTCTACCTCGAGCTTTTCCTCGTAACTCTGCTGCCATCCCTGAGGGATCAGACCGGCAGCCCGCGGCCCCTGACCCCCCCACCGCCCCCCCGAGACACGGCGGCGTTTGATGAACGACCAGTGGAGGTCAGACCTCTGATTGGTATTCAACCTCCTCCATCCGAGGCCGCTGAACCAAAACGCAGAGAGCGTAAATTACCGCCGTGGCTTTGACAGATATACTCAGCATCGGGACTTTCACCGAGGCGACGGGAGTGCGTGCGCGCGTGGGCTGGAGCGAGCAATCTGTCACCGAGGGGCTTCCCGACAACCTCGGGCGGAGGGATGGATGGAGAGGTTTCCCCCGCATGGATGCAACGGGAGCGGCCGTACGGAGCTTTTCTTCTGCCAGCGACCCGTGTCTCCTCCACCTCACAACACACACACACACGCAAGGGGTCACTGATGGTGCTGAAAAGTAAAGAACGGGGACCTTTGACCTTTCAGGGGTGTCTGGAGAAGCTTACCAGACATGCAAATACTGACTGAGCTGTGGACGGACGGAGGGGAGGTTTCATCCCAGTGAAATCTGCCACATACCTCGCGTATCACATCCTGTGATTGAAGGCGTGATAATGGAAGACGGGTTTGAACAATGGTTTTATGGATACGACACACAAGCTTTGAACATTCAGTCGTAAAGATGAATCGGTGGGTCTTTCCTTTTTTTGTCTCAGAAGACGCCTCATCGCAGGTGAACCCTCAGTACAAATCGGTGATACCTCGAACACGGATGGACGGGCGCATTTTAAAAAGACACGGAACACTTTTCTGAAACAGTCTCTTAGTGAAAGTTTCCGATAATGACACTGTCACTCTCCACCCAGAGAAGCAGAAGTTTCCCCCCAGAACGTCCCTCTGCAACATGATGGTGTTGACATGTTTACTCAGCTGTTTGCAAAACGACCCCCCCCCCCCCACTCATTCCGAAACTCTCCTCCTCCCGGTTCAAAATAGCTGTAATTCTACTGGGAGCCGGACTCGGTTACAAAGAGGCATCAGTGCTCCATCCCAGACAAAGGAGAGCATTTGGACCGCTTCATACCAGCGGCCGGGACACCGCGTGGCGGACATGGTGACGGAGCGCCGCTCTATCCCAAATAGAACAATAATAATAGTAATACTAATAATAATTAATGAGGTTTATATGGACAGCGTTAAAAAGGTCAAAACATGTCAGGCAATTAGCAGCAGTAAAGCACGAGCTCGCGCAGTTTTCTATTTCGGTGCTTTTGGCACGTTTCCTTTCCCCGAAGGATAGAAGCGGTGATTCATTACAGGCGGCTACACGGACAAAAGCACATGCGAGCAGGCGCAACGCCCCCCCCCACCCCCTTCCCCCTCCTCCTCCTCCCCCGTCCCTTCCCCGATAACGAGAGGAGATGACAAGTGGAGGAGCGGATGGCGATGGAGCTGCTGCGCCCCGCGGTGCGCGTCCTACCTGTCATCGTAGCAGAAATCTGCGTCCAGCGTGTTCAGATAGAGACCCACTGCCACGGCGGTGCACACCAGCTCCGTGATCATCTCTCAAAGCCCAAAGCGGGAGAAGGAGCCGGGATGGAAATGACTGGATTTGGGTCGTGGTCCTCCGCCTCCTCCTCCTCCTCCGCCTCCTCCTCGCCTCCCAACCTGCTTCTCTCAAAAGTCTCGGTGTTATTGTGTTCTCAATTCAGCCGCTCGGGAGCAACCCGGAGCTCCGGGACGACGCGTGGGCATTTCCACCCCCCCCCGTGGCATGCAAAAGTGTGTCAGAGTTAGCCGTATTCCCTGTGACCCATGGCGCTGGGAGAAGGGTGGAGGGTGGAGGACGGGTGCGGGTGCGGGTGCGCGGGGGGTTGAGGCGGCGGTGCGAAGCTACCGGCTTGGAGCTGCGCGCGTCTGCTGTACTGCGGCGGCCTCGGTGTGCGCATCTCTCCGCCTTGGAACCGGAGAGAGCCGAGCGGGGGAGACGCGTGTGGTTTTTCAGGGAGGCCGAGCATGCGCAGTAGGGTGAGGGGGGCGGGAGGAGGAGGAGGGAGGGTGTGTGGGGGGTGCCAGAAAATAAGTGATTGCGTTTTTGTGCATCACCGGTGGACTTAATAACGATCAATCATGTCGTGTCATGTCATGTCGCATATCATATCATATTTTTAAGGGATTTAGTGTGAATCAAGAGTCAACGTTACCTTTAGTGTTTATTTTATTTTAAACTTGTATAATGAAATATAATATAATATTATATATATATATATATATATATATATATATATATATATATATATATATATATATATATATATATAACACATAGTATTTTAAAGTATGAAAGCACATCATAATGAAATATAATATAATATTATATATATTACATATAACACATAGCATTTTAAAGCATGCAGCACATCGGCTCTATGTTAACTTTAATGGGTGTCATAAGAGCATTTTAGAATTAAAAACACTCGTCATCATTTAATGTCCAAAGTATGTCGATTTTAACAGTGAAAAGCGCATGAAACCTACGGATAAAAATGTAATGCTTCTGCCATATTCATTATATTATCTCATCTTACCCCAAATTAGAAATATTGATTCATTTGCTAAACACCAACTCCCCAGCATCACGCGGAGAGGCTGCGGTGTGATCGATGAACTATGGTGAGGATGCATCTGGGCCTGAATTTGCTCCTGCTGACTACCAGCTGGACCAACGGCTGGCCCTCGGTCGGGGGGGACGGGGGGGGGGGCTCTCCGAGCGAAAGAAAAATCCAGTTCAGAGCGGCGGAGAGAGGAAAACAGATGGCTGGAGAGCAGCTTGTGGAGCGCAAGGGCATCGGCCGGTGAAGGGTGGGACAGCGACGGGGTCGAATGCAGTCGTTTGTAACAGTGGCACCCGGAGACCCTGATTCTGAGGAAGACTTGACCTTCACCTCATGGAACCGGTTGGACAGGCCTTGTGTTTCTGTACCTGGGACGAATGTTCTTGCTGCTGCAACAGAAGAGCGGTTGTTGTGGCGCAGGGGGTAGAGCAGGTGTCTGGGAATCAAAAGGTTGGTGGTTTGAGTCCCAGCTGCCCCATGTCTCAAGTTGAAGTGTCCCTGAGCAAGACACCTAACCCCTAATTGCTCCCCGGGCAAAAAAATGTAAAAGCCATGGGTTTAAAGTAAGTCGCTTTGGATAAAAAGTGTCAGCTAAATGACCTGAAATGTAATGTAAAGAGGGCCTTTGCACGGGTAGTTGGAAGACACCCAGTGCTTTTTGTAACCTTATCATCCAGCCTTATTTCGAATTAGCAGACGTTGTCGCAACATAAACCCAAACAAACCCTGAGGCAAACACAAAGATGTACACAACGCAAGAAGCACGCAGCGACTTTACCCTGCACTAATGGGGGGGGGGTGCAAGAGGTGCTGCATCCTGCAGTCGATTGGCAGAGGAAACGAGGGAAACGTGCTGCCTGCACAAACAGACCCCGGGGGCCAAACAAACACGTCGCAGGAGAAGAAGTGTTTACCCCCCCTGTGTGACTGATTACCTGCGACGTGCTCTTTAGCTGTAAACAGTCCTGAATAAAACATTTCAGGTGACGATGCCTGAAGGGACATTGGGGGGGTTCTGCTAAATAAGAATTTACATATATTGATGAATGTATTTTTCTTATTCCTCATATTATTTCCTGTTCATGAGTGAAATGCATTGGGGGGGGGTTCTCGTTCCAGACAGATTTGGGTTTTGCTCGTCAACAAAGCTAAATTTGGTCCTTTTGGACTTTGACACTTGTGGCTTTCAGCCCTCCAGTCTTCATGCTTTAAATGAATAAGTTTTAAGGCAACACAAATATTTTTTTCGGACATACAAGGATAAAGGAGCAATATTTACCCAATTTGAAAGATGACAATTCAAAATATGTTATATACATTAATATTAATTAATATTTTAAGTTCAAATGTTGTAAGTATTTATATTCTATTCATACAGTGATATTCTCACTAAACATTCTTTTACTTTTTTATTGAAATTGTATGTATACTCGTAAAGAACTGAACATACGAATACAAATATTTAAAAATATTTATCTTTAAATAATGATGGCACATTACATTGATTGTCTCTGCTTGGTTCTAAATAATATAACACATATTTTGTGATTAGAGTTGTGCAACCATAAATAACGGACATTTAGATTTCAGAGGGTTTTGTACATTTTGGTACCTTCCAAAAGAGCCGTGCGAGCTGTTTCCAGTATTTATACTACGATAACAAGCTTCAACGTGCACACGACTGGTTTGACACTTGAATCTCTTGTCAGAAAGACGCGTATTTTCCCAAAATGTCAATTGAATCCCTTAAGTATGGTGCAAAGGTCATTATTCATGATTATGTAACAGCAATGGCTTAATTTGATACACGATAATATTCCTGTTTGATTCACACATGCAATGTAAGAGCCAAATCACATCAAAAGGACATTTTGGATCGACGAATTGTGTTTCCATCCAGCCTGTTATTAGAGGATTTCCTCTCCTCTTTAAACTTTACAGAGCGAGTAATGGTAATTTCCCCGTGCTATTTACTCCGGAAAAAAATGCTAGATCAACCCAGCAGATAATCATCAAGGAGGAAACAGATAATCGCAGCTGGAAGGAGCGGGACCGGGTCCTGCCCTCACAGAAATAGCACTACCGCGTTATTAATACCAGCGTTCTTAAGCCTGGCGGACTTAAAATCAGGAGACATCACACCCCAAAACAAATCATGGGTGGGCTTGATGACTGTCACGCCACAGTGATGATGGCCTGCACAATGGCTTAACAAAAAGGTCAGTGGATACATTGTTTCAGAAAAGACTGTGGAATGAAATAGAAGAAAAATAGATCAAATAAAACCATTTAACCATAAAATGGTCTAAATAAAATGATATTACTAGATAATAAGTGATGGGATCCACATTGAAAGTGTCTCCTGTGGCTCAGGGTCAAACCCTTCACATGCGTCCACTCTGCCGGGTGTGAAATGCCATTTTTTATTATTAGTAAACGCAGCTCTCCAGAGATTAAATCTTTAGTGACTTGAGGTGACACCAGCCGTTTTTCTTTTTATCTAAAACAAGCCGTGTGTGCCACCGACTCGATGATCTCAGCCAAATCCCCTCTTTTTCACAAGCGGGGCATCTGGCTTTTGGCAGAGAAGTGAAGTCGGTTCGTGACTGGAGGGACTCGATGACGGCAGCCAGGGCTTCTTCCTGGCTCTCTTCTGCCTGATGGCTGTTCGCCCGGGCCCAGAAAAAAAAAAAAAAAAGACGCTCAGATGGAACACATTAGGTATGAAAAGCGACGCTTTTGGGGTGCGCTTCTGATGCTGTTACAGACCTTTCATCACCAACGTAAAAGCTCAGTTACCCACAAGTTGAATACTTAAATCATTCCACTTTCCTTCCAAATTTGACTGATTTTACTGCGGCCTGCTCGGTCCGTCATAGATCTCCCGGGCCTCCCTCGTGAGCCTGGAAGAACTGGTTTCATAACCTTCCTTCCATCCCAAACACAACATCCACCAGCTGAGAATTTGCACAGAGGATTGGTTGATTATTAGGAGCATACAAACTTCAAATGGAGGTTCCTTCCTGAACGTGGAGAAAGAGGAAACCCTGAGAAGATTTTTCACATCAAAGAGGGTAGCAGGAACTTTTGAGTCGCGTTCCAACCGCCGCCGTGAGAAACAGCGTGCGTCAAGTGTTTGACGCACTCCCCTCACTTCGCCTGCACTTCCTCCCTTTCCTGCCTTGAAAATGAAAAGCCATTTGAGAGCCGGATCGCCTCGTGTGATTCACCCACGTCGACTATTTCTGTCCCCGGGCCTTCAGCGCGTCCTGTGACCATGTCTTCCAGCCTTAAGTGCAAACTCAGGAAATTGTGTTTTTAGCCTTTAGGCTGCCTCGGTAGCTTTTGCAGGGCCCCTTTATCAGCCCTTCTTCTATGCGGGCACATGAAACAGAAGGACGTTAGGGTGCGTTTGTGCACACATATGTGTGGACAGCACATGCTCCACAGGACGTGACTCACTGGGCCACATCGTTCGCTAAAACAGGCCCCGAACACGTCCTGGATTGGGTGCGCTTGCGTCTGGTTTGGGGAAGGTTAACATGGTTTAGACGGGGCGGAGAGAGTCTCGCCATCTGTCTTCACCGAGGGTGAAAACAAAGCTGTGGGACACAGTATCAGCACGGCAACCTTGACAGAACCAATGGATGTCCTGCAGATGTGCGGGCTGCTGCAGATACTGTGACTAATAAGCAGGAGAAGATGCGATGTGAGGAGGTGCCAGGCAAAAGTGAGACTGCACAGCGGGAAAACCAGTCGTATTCCCATTGTTTTAGTCTATTTTTGTCGCCATAATTTAAAGAAAAAAGGAAGTTTCCTGCAGAGCTTTAATCAACACTGTTCACATGCACAGCGTCTATGAACATGACTCAGCGGGTGTGACACACACACGTGTCACATGGGAATAACACGTGTTTCCACCATGGATCGGCAACCTTTAGCTACAAACACCCATATCCTGTTGCTTTTAGACATTACGTTTGTAGTTTTTATAGTTCGTGTTAATGTTTCTATATGACCCAGGATATTGCAGATGTGACACTGATTACCGCAGCCTGAGAAACCGCAAAGTTCACCGTCTCAAATGGTACACGGGGTTGTTAGTGCCACCTAAAGGCTCCGTTTCCTTACTTTACCGTGAGTCTGCTTTCCATCAGCTTTAGTGCAAGTGTCACTGCCATAATTCACTTCTGTGCTCAAGACTATAACATTTGTTATTGAACATGCGAGAAGTGAGAGTGATTTATTAAATGACCGAGCACAAAGCAAAACAGGAGTAAAACGGGGGTCAAGGGCGCCTCTTGCTCGCTCTAGCGTTTCCCTTACTTCCTGTGGTTCGGGAGCCCAGAAATGGGGTTTCCAGACGTGTCCACGGAGGGGATCCAGGCTTCCCTAAATCCCACAATGCCCGCGGTTCCCTGAACGCCCCTTAAAAACAAGTGTCCTCTCAAGACTCACAAAGCACGGAGACAAAAGGCGGCGATGGATACAATCAGCTCAAACGGGACTGAGGGTTTTTCCAGGTGTTTGGACCAGGTGTTTGGAGCATGTGTTTTTCATGACGACGCCGACAGTCAAGGACTAAAGGCTGAACATCCTGGAGATTTATTGTAATGTAAAAAAACGCAAAGAATACAAAATATTTTTTAAAAGATGTTCCTAAAAGTGATACAGGGAATAAATGATAGATTAAATCATACATGTAATCAAAACACACAAAGCACAATCAGTCACGTAGGGTTGCTGATACAATCAGCGCATTTGTAATCATGTGCACATGAATTTTAATTAAGGTGAAATTGTCTTCAGTCCGACGACGGCGTAACATCTGGGAGACAGCAGCGGATCGAAGAGTTGCACCAGTGCCGTGAATGATAAATCCGCCTGTAAGAAACGCAAACCCAGAAAACCATGAGACGCAAAGAGGTTGATCCTCCTTTGCAGTTTGGCTCCGTGATCCGCCGGCGTTCCTCTGCCGTATGACGTCCTCCCCATTAGGGATCCTCCATCGGATCCCGCGGGAACAAACATCTGTACAAATATTGTGTCAGGTGCTCCCCTGATGTGGAAAACACGTTTGTCGTGCCTGGTCGTTTTGGAAAGGAAACCAGACTTCAGTCGACCGCCTCACTGGCCGCTTTGGAAGGCCTTACTGACACTGCACCCACGCAAAGGACGGGAAAATCTCCCATAAACCGAAATAGAATTAGTCTCATAATTCAATTGTGTGCTTACATGCTGATGCTCGGGAATAATGTTTAGCATGTTGCCAATCTTTGCTTAGCAGGCAGATATTTCAGTCAGCGCAGATGATGACGCTACATGGAAAGACGGGATCACCAGTGTTGTTAGGAAATGTCTGTCCGTCAAAATAGCTGTTTCGACATTTTACTCAGTTTGCAACATCACGGTGGTGCCAGATGAAACGAGCGGGGATCCCAAAAGCCAGCCCGATTCGTCCTCTGAGGACAATGAACGTCTGCGCAAAACCTCATGGCAATCCATCAAGTAGTTGTTGAGATATTTCTGGACTGCAGTGGCGGTCACAGCGGGGAGAACGACATTTGTTGCTAACGCCCACGATCACCGGTGTGTATTTCAGCCTTTCAGCAGACATGCTTAATAAGTCCAATCGAATTAAATCCCAACGAAGGAGAAAAGACTACGGAGAACTACACAATTCTACAGCAATAACAACCACAGCTCTTGTTCCGAACCCAACCGACCCCCCCAGGGGGTGATGGGGGGGGGGGGGGGGGGGAGAGGGTCTCTCAGCGCTCCTGATGGGAGATCGTTTCATAAAGGGACCCTATTGAGGAAGTCCATCTGACACACAGCGCACGTGTGTGTGTGTGATGGCGACGTAGCTCCTCACAACGACGCAGCGCTACAGATGAGCACAATGAATCGCACAAGATCTCCGCTGAGATCAGATTATAAAGATGAGTGCGGCTGGAAACGGGGAGCGAGTCACGTGGCTGCCGGGGATTTTTACTAACGTGGTTATTTTTTAGTTTCTAGTTTGTTAAATCTCTATTTTGTTTCCAAGAGGGTTTGACGCACGGAAGTTATAAAATGACTCACGTATTTCCACTAATGGCTCGACTATCAAAAGAAGACTGAAATGAAGGTTTTATTCTGAAATGCGAACACTTAAGACGAGAGTATGTTTGGGCTTTTTTAAAACCGCCTGGAATGACGTTACCTGTTCCTGCAGGTAGCAGAGGCGATCAAGGAGAATCAGACCTTCGATGCAGGGAGCCAGGGTCACCTTCAGCTGCACACACGATGACATCAGGACACTCTAAAACACATTTGTGGGCGATCTCCAAAAAAAACATTCTACTGCTTTGTGTCACTAAAGAAAATGGGCACGTTGGTCGACACTTCAATTAGTGGTCTCATCTTGAAGCGGGGGCTGTTTTTCTTCCCGTTCTGCGTGATCGTTCCCAGCAGACTGTGATGATTTAACTTTAACGGTCGGCAGTTTACCGGCATTACACGTCACACGTCTTACTCACCATATTAAAAGCGTGCATCTCGCCCATTCGGGGCCTGTAAGCGTCGTGGTAATCCTGGATGTCGCCGTCGGAAAGCTGACGAGAAAGAAAGAGCATCGTGCACGACCGCCCCGGACTTTTAACACGTGAAAGTAAAAAACAGTGAAAGATATGTCATCCATGAGAGGGAGGCCTCTCTGGCCGCTGTGACGAGGTGGTGCTGACCTTTGACTCGTCCAGCTCCAGCCTGCGTAGAGCTCGACGAACGTAGTCCACAAACGACTTGGACTTGGAGTAGACGTTCCCGACTCGCTTCTCACTGCAAACACAGACAAACACAGACAGACGCATTTACCTCCGGACTGATCGGTGAAGAATAGGTGCTGCTTACGGAGATGTGATGGTTACTCGATCCTGATCCGATGTGGTTCATTGATACCGAGGGTCTCGGAGGGGCGAGGGAACCCGGCACAATGCGTTAGTTAAGAGCTAATGGAAGTTACTGCTGTAGCTCAGCTTATTAATTAGAGGAGAGCGACCAAAATGCCATTATTCATTATTATTCATTACTGAAATGGCCGCAGAGCTTCCGATCTAATGGGAAACAAACGTACTCTGGTTTGAATGGTGAAATGTAACAAAGTGGAGTCTGTTCTGCCTTTATTCATTTCTAAAAAATAAGAAACAAAGCAGATTCTTTTGTTATTATTTAATAACGGCCTTTTCATTATCTATAAATTATTACGAGCTGACTACAGAAAAGTGAGATAATTCAACATGCTGAAATCCAGAGGAGTGTCCTTTATGCCATTTTGTGATTGTGTTTCGTTTATTGTTCGATTTGAAAAGATGCATCACAAACATTCCCAGAGGCCAAGATGACGCCTACAAAAAGTCTCTTTTGTCCAACTTCCAAGTCCAAGATGCCAAAAGTTAATACATTAAGAATGATACAAACACATCTGAGGAAACTCTGGAAGTCAGCAACGGTTTGTCATTTCTGCTTGAAAATAATTAATTGATTCATTAAAACAATTTTTAGCACTAAATTGGATTGCTTTTTTTTTACTCTAAATGAATCCCTCACACGTGTTCCTGTATCTGAAACAACACCCTGCAGATATTGCTGCGATTTCCTCCCGTGGAAGTGAAGCCAGATGCCGACCCCGTCGACGTTACCTTCTGAAGCAGTCGTAGCGATCCCTCAGAATGACGTGCAGGACGGCTCGGTAGAACAGAGACTCCATCTGAATCTGCGGGAGAGATCAAAGGTGACCCCATTCCAACGCGACGCAGTTCACCCTACTTCCCACCGAAAGAGCTCGCCGCGAACACTTAATGGATACTTCTGACACGTTCCAAGCACTGATGCAAGACTTGCAAGCAATCAGCCCGCTTTTTCTGCGGCGGGGGGGGGGGATTCAGACCCCCAGTTCCAGCAAGTAATCACTCTCGCCGTGATTGCATTAATATTTATAAACATTCCAAATTAATGGCTGCCGGCGTCGTGCGTCGGGCTTTGGCCCGGAGCGCCGAAAAACCATACGCTGGCAGTCCGTCACCGACTTGAATCAACATCGGAATTAACGGGTCGATTGTTTGAAGATAGCGCGGCCGTGAGTGAGTTGGGAGCGCACGCGTTTGATGTTTGACATAATCCCACACGCGTGTTGTGACGGGTTGGAAGTGGCGCGGAAATGAACTTGTGTGAATCGACTACAATCAAGTGTGCGTGCTTCACTTACCCCTTGGCCGTGTGAAACTCTCTCAAGCGCCTGGTTTTTGGGGGGTGAGATGGGGGAGGGGGGGGGCGGTAGAGCGTTAAGACATTTCTTTGGAAAAACTGAGCACAAGATGTTCCTGTGAGGTTAGAAACTGCTTCAGCAACACGCCCCACGCCGGCGGATGAAGAGGCCGCCCGACTGTCCGGGGAGGTCACGTGGTCACGCGCGGGAAAGACCCACAGACGCACAAACTCACCAAGCAGGCCGACATCCTGGCGTTCCGGCCGCAGAACCAGGACCGGTCGCGGAGGTACCGACTCAGGGGGAAACCACACGGTCCGCTGGCGCCTTCTGCAAAGGGAACACACACACACACACACACACACACACACACACACACACACACACAAAGGGGGTCTCGAGGGAGAATTCTACTTCTAATTCACAGACTTTCTTTAGGAGCAGCAATAACGTGAGCAGAGCAAAGCGGCAATCTGTTTACAGCAGCTCGACCTCGCGGCGGCCACACAGTGCGCAGCTGAAGTGGCCACATACAAACGCTCGCCTGCGCCAAGACAAATATTTTGGATGTGGTCGTGGTGCTAGCGCACGTTTGCAAACATCTCATGAGGGGACGTGGAGGCTCCGGGGGGCCCCGGGCGCCAGAATGCACTTGACCGCTTGTGAGTAAACGCTATGAGAGACGTGGGACGAGCCTTCTACAAGTGGTGCTGCTTCGTTCCCAAATGAGCTCGTCCTTTAGGGTGATGTGGGCCGACCTAGTCCTTTGTTGAATTCTTTTGAAAGATCAAGCCGCAGTTCGGGAAAACCAGGTTGGAAAGAAGTTTTTTTATTTTCGAAATCAGCGGGCCGTGATGTCACTTCCCACCCGCTCTTGGCCGACGCTGCAGCCGCGTAGACGATCGTGCGTCTCGCAAATCCCCCCTTTCGTAGCGCAACTCCAGAGGGGCAGCCCGGCCCGAGACGTTCGTCTGACTTGTTGACTATAAAATGCGACTGCAGGTGTTTCGTTTCAGACTGGATTCGGCGAACGCTGCAGGTGTCTGAGGCGGGAGAAAGAATGTGAGCTCCGTGCGCAACCGAAACCACGTGTTCCTCAAGAAAAGTGCGTGACGGTCACCGCTTCCTAACACAAACACACTTATCTGTCGCTGCCAGTGTGTGTGTGTGTGTGTGTGTGCGTGTGCGTTTGGTTACCCTGTCGGGCCGGGTCGAACTCCTCAGTCAGCAGGTGATAGCAGCAGCCCACGCTGCAGACCGCGGCCAGCTCCGGTTTGGCCACAAACATCCTCAGGGTGCTGGGAGCCAAGTCGCCGCACGTGTGCAGGCCGACCACGACCGCATCCTGGAATTTGGGGGGAGGGGGGGGAGAAAAAAAAAGGAGAATCGATGGTGAAATTTATTGATGACGACTCGCACACAGATTTGGGCCCCGCGCCGCGATCCCACAATCGCTCCGGTAATGCGAACTCCAGCTGCTGCTGTGGCGGCTCTATTTACAACTTGGCTTCCTCCCCCCGACTCACCTCCAGCTCGTCGATGAGCTCTCGCAGCTCCGTTTCGGCGGTGACGTACGAAGTGAGGGGTGAAAACGCGACGCCGGCGCCGGCCGTTCGGTTCTGAGCTTTCCTCTCCAGGTTCTCCCTCTTCCTCCTCTGCCTCTCCTCGTCGCTCAGGCGGCCGGGCGGCGCTCTGGCGGGCGACGGCCGCATCACATCCGCCGACAGGGCGCCGAGGAAGAGCTCCTCCGACTCCGCGGTCGACTCTGGAGGCCTTCCCGCCGCCGGCTCGACGTTTGATGGGACGACTGGCGCCTCCCGCTGCTCCTCCCGTGACGCGTTTCCCGGTTCCCCATCGCCGTGCGCTACATCGCCGTCTCCATCTCGTCCAGGCTTCACGTCTACTTGCACGTTCTGATGTGAAGGTGCGGCCTCTCCCTGTGCCCTCGCTGCCTTGTTGCATCTCTGGTACGCCCTGGAGAACCTTTCCAGCTTGCGGTTCCTCTCCTGGGCCCCGTGCGTGTTGGTGCTGGAGGAGTCGATGCCGTAGACCCGGAGGCAGTACTGCAGGGACAGAAAGGAGCTCAGGTAGCCTTTCCCTGAGCCGACATCGATCACCTGCACGGGAGGGAAAGTCACCATGTCAGGGTGTTCGGTTAAATGTCTCCCCAACAGAGCACGTAGGCTTTTCTAGTGCTAATTTCGAAAAAAGTCACTTGACCTGTTTGACTCCACAGCGCCGGGCCAGAGAGGCCACCACCTCCGACATGGATTTGACCTCGTGAGATTTCTTCGAGTTCATAAACTCGTCCGTCACCAGCTCAGCATCTGGGTTGGACGGAACAAAAGTCTGATTTCTTGCGCTACGTATCTTTACCACAAAAGTAAATTAATAAATAACTGGTTTCCTCCCCTCAGCGTGGAACAATGTGTTTGGACTCTTCCCTACCTGTAGCTGCCACTGGAGCAGCCGGCTCGCGCCCGTCCCCTCGGAGGCCCTGCAGTAGCTCATCCCGGCTCATGCAGACTCCAAGGCCGAGCAGCGAGTGGGCCTTGGCCGCCCGCAACAGTTCTCGGGTGTCGACCAGCCGGTTTGTATCATTGCAAAACCCAAATGTAGTCCTGGTTTGCTCCGATTCTGGAATAAGGCAGAAATGAAAGCAAAGGTTGCTAGAGTTTTATACTTTCCATGTGTTTAATAAAAACTAAATGTTTATTCTATTACGAATAGCTTGTCAGTGAATGGATTTTGGTATTGCAAACACCTTTTTACAATTTGGTACCCCTTTGGCACCCCAAAAGCTGCTTTAACTATTTGTAACAATGGCCTAGTACTAATTTGAAGGCTAAACATTAGTGTTAGCATAATAATAATGAGTGTTAAAGTTTATAGATAACCTTCATACATGAATGGACTCTTAGAATGCGTATTTCTAAGAAATCGTTTTTTTCGGTAAATATGCATTTCTAGGCTATTTACCGTTTTCTTTGTGCTCTGGCTCCCTCTGCTGGTCATTGCGTGAAGCGACGGTTGACAGGACCTCCTGAGGTGGCACGGCCATGAAGCGGTTCCACGCGTCGTGAGTGTAAAACTCCACAGTGTGAGCGTTGGCGATGCTCAGGGTTATGGACAGAAACCGCTGAACTTCATCGATTCGGCGTTGAGTTTCTGTGAGGCTGTACGAAGCAGAAGACATATTAAAAAGCCCTCTAAAGGCGGCCAGTGTAAAGCATGCAAGTCCGTCTGCTGTCGATGTACGGTTAGGCAAAAGGAGTCGAAAAGTCGTTAGATTATTTTACAATATACGTATTTTTTCAAAGAAAATGTACAGTGGCATACATACAATGGTAAATATTTGATTTGTGACAAAATATTGCATCGTATTTGCTTCAGAAATATAAATATATCGTATTAAAAAAAAGGCTCGGTCATCGATTATTCATGCCTGCCTTGAATGCGTCATCACTCAGCGCCTGTAAGGAAATGGCATGCAGCCTGAACCCGCATGAACGTGTAAACATTTGAGTTTCCCAGGCAAGATTCAACTCAAATGGCACCAACAGATCAAAAAATGAAAAATGAGAAGTTCACCCCGAAAGATAGCAACTGGAAGAAGTCAAAAAGTAACGTCCAGGGTTTCAAGCATAAGAGGAAATGGGTCCCCGAGCAAAACGTATACGAAGGCAGTATTAAAGAAGGTAAGTTTCGGCTTACTGCTGTTAGCCGAAGAGTAACTGCTGTTTGATAAATAATGTGATTTAATTGGATAAGCAGAACGTTAAATAGTTTTTCCTTTCATTCTACGTCATACGGGTTGATTTTATAGATAGTCTTTCAATAAATATACCGTCAACTTTTGCTTCTGTCTTCTTTCCTAAGGTCAGGGGTTTGCTTTAAAGAGGAAGGAAAAAGTCAAGCATGAGTACAACAAGCTGCTGCGGAAGGAGAGGAAGAAAAACCCCGAGTCCAAAGCTCTGTACAAGGAGGAGTACCCCGAACACCTCAAGCATCTGTACATGGCCGAGGCCCAGAAACTGAAGAACGAAGCCTGGACCCATCGATTGAACAGGACTAAACTGAGAATTAAAGAGCCACACGTGGATGAAGAGAGCGGTGAAAGCACTAATGGTGATGGTGATGATGATGATGATGCTGATGCTGCTCCTACTGAGCCAAATCCAGAAGCTACTGATGGATCCGAGCTGACGGACGCTGGCACTGGGAATCCGGAATCCGGTGACGCCGCAGAGAAAGAGTGGTGAGGAAATGTCTCCAAAACGTCATTCTCACATGACGCTCGCAGTTTAGCTTTGAGGGATGTTGATGTTAAGACCTAAACCTATGATCTTCTTTTCCAGTCTTCCAATGAGCAACCGCATGAGGAAAAAAGTGCTGAAGAAGACGTCCTACCAGAAGACAAAAGAGGAATTTGAGGCAATCGCGAAAAAACAGAGAGAGAAGAAAGAGGTGGAATATTTATATGATTGTTTACTAGTTAACTTTTGCCACAAAAATTAATAAACAAATTATTTGTGACTCCAAATAAACTGCATTCTTACGGGTTTCATGTTCTTTTGATTCTGTGTGTCCAGGAGCATCTGAAAAAAAGCAAGCAGAGAGAAGAAGCCATTCAGAACTACAAAAAGAAGAAGATGGAGACCTTTCAGATACTGAAGAAGAAGACCAGGAAAGGACAGCCCAATCTGAACCTCCAAATGGAGTATTTGCTTCAAAAGATCACCCAAGGAACTGGGAAATGACTTTTGAGTCAGAGCTGATATAATTATTGTGAGAAGAGTGGACCGTTACTTCTATTCAACTCTCTGTATTGAGTCTGTTGCAAGGAATAGCTCAAGGACAATTCAAATTGTGCTTCTCATGAAAACATAAATGGTATTATTTTAGACTCGGACCACAAGATGGCGTCGTAAGACAAGGAGATGCTGATGGAACTCTTTTATTAATCACAAAATGTTGTATTTTTCTGTAATCGCTCTTCATTGGGCGACACATCCCAGTTGTATTTTATTACCATGAAGTCAAATATTCATCACATAAGCTGTCATTTAGCAAGAGTAAACTAGTTTAGAATATATTTAGGCATAAACCTTTGAAAATCCATTTTATCTGCAATATTCTGGTTTAACTTTGGTAACGCCAAGCTGCAAGGATCCTTTCCTAAACTAATAACACCGCTGTAAATAAAACAATAACATTTAAGCTGCTGGTCTCGTACGTCTTCTTGTCATCAGGCGATACAAACACGCCGCGTACGCGTCAGCGGCTTAAATCCAGCAACCTTCTCCGTCCCAGTGGACGCAGACTGAAAAGCCTCCGGCCGCTCCCTCATGACATCACATGGTCGCAGAATGACTTCTCAAACGTTCATCTGTGAGGCAAGACTTCCTAAACACAGAGCGCGCTCACTGCTCTGTTGATACTGCGAGCAGAAAAAGAAAAGAAAAAAGTCTTTCTTTTATATAAGGTAAGACCACGTCTTCAGTTTCTGGTTTATTTAAAGATGCCATTTTTAACTTAAAAAGTATGTTTAAAGCTGTGTGTTCTTGATTTAAAAGAAAGGACCAAAGCCTTTTTGGTGTCCTTGGAAGAGTAAAGCAGTTTTCTGTAGTACAGTCAGTCTGCAGAGGGACATACCCGAGGCCTGTGCAGGACAGGAATGTGTTTGTATTCATAAAGTCGTATGAGGATACTAACAGAAGTGTATTGTGTTTAATGTCCAACTTAAGCACTGAGTTTTGTTTTCTTGCAAAGCTTAAACCTGCTGACTCGCTACAGATAAAACCAACCTTTCCACCACGTGAACTTAGTCAACATAACTCCACTTGAAAACCTGAAATCTGCGTGTTCATTTCTGCCAACTGCTGCACGGCTCTTAATGCGAGCGACACAGTGCTTCAAACCTAGTTTGAGGTTAAGTTGTTGCAACTAAAATAAAAAACGCTATTGGTGGGAAACTCCGCTCTGAATTGAGCCGTGACTTTACTTTTGGGCAACGGGTCTTGCAGGCATTACGCCGTCATGTGTTCTATAGGTATTAAGATAATCCTTGACACTGTTTACATGCCTTTGAGTTGCTTGTTCCTGGCTTATTAGAAAAGGGAAGTACTGTACCGTCGTAGGTAGCGCGGTCCTGTTGCGTTAATGTTGTGATCACTTGTGTAACCGTACATCTCACCACTAGTTTCCTCAAAATATCGCCTTTTACTAAGTGGTATTAAGTTGAGATGACTGCTGAACTGAACTCTTTCTCTTTGTCTCATAGGAGCATACAACCATTCTAGGTCTATTCATAAGCCACAAAGTTATCAGTGATCTCATCACCTGATGCTGCTTCCTGTCTTCGTCGTCATGGCGACTCTTTAAGAGCCCCGCAGCACTAAAACAGGCTCAGTAAGGATGCCTGATGCCCGATTGCACTGAAATTCATGCCAAATCCACACAGCGCTTGGGGAAAAGAGTAGTCCCCCGACATGGAGGAGGAGGAGGAAGGCAGGGCGAACGGCTGCGGACTGAACCAGGAGAGGAGGAACTCCGACTGGGGGCGGATCGCCCTGCTGGACAAGACCATGGAGTTCTTCCAGACCTGCGACGTAGAGGGCAAAGGCTGTATTTCCCGCACCGATATGAGGGTTAGAATGTGTGGTTAGGACGTGTGTGCGTTGTTAATCCGGTATAAGTTAAATGGGGTAAATAGATAAGTTTGCATACTGGAAGAGGTCTTAGCAGTCCACTTCATCCGCAGGGACGTTGATGCCATGTTTTTAAAACTGCACTTTAGACTTTCTTTCCTACAACATTCTTGATGCTGGATTAAGTATATTTTGAGCATTTCTTTAAAAAACAGAAAAAGACCGTTAAAGCACAAACGTTTTCTTTCGGGGCTTTCCTCTAGAATGCTTTGGCCCTCTGCAAACGCATTAAGCCTCCAGCTCAAGGGGCCCCCCGAATCCCTGTGGCACAGTCACGGGTGCCGTCTTTTTTGCTCGATTCTCAATTTATTCCCTCCACATCACGTCCCCGTTTTGACAGAAGCACCTCACCCACTCGAGCGGCGTCTAGTACAGGTTCATCTCTCGCACACATCATTTTACTGACAGGGACCATACCCACAAACCTCTACACGACCGTGTCCACACCGCGGTGTCGGTTCATTGGCCCACGGCCCTCGGGGGCATCGTGCCTTTTGTTGCTGTTTCTTTTTAAAAAGCTCTTCTCGGTGACACATAAGAGAGCCACTTTGTGCCTGAGTGTGTTCTGCGCTAGGTGTGCTTGACCTACGGCAGCACGCAGCCCGGATGTGAAGGATTTCAGGCTTATTTAAACGCCTCGTGTGTTTATGCTTTCTTGGCAGAGGCTCCACAGACGGCTGCCTCTGTCCGCGGAGGAGCTGGACGATGTGTTTGATTCCCTGGATACAGGCCGCACTGGCTACCTCACGCTGGAGGCATTCTCCTCCGGATTCAGTAGGTCTCCCGCCGCCAGAGAAACGCCAGCGTAGAGATGTGATGGTTGTAGCGCATGTTGAAATGTAACAGTCATAACGACGATAACCTCACTCAGTAATGACACAGTTACGCAACTTCTCTATAAAGTTTGCAAACATTAGGCGACATAAGCTACTTTGCATACCAGACCAAGTAAGGCGGCTGAGTGGATTGGAGCAAGCGTTGGTGTCATTTTAAATGTGGACTTGATGTTCTGTTTCTCTTCTTTTTTTTCCACCCAAAGTTACAAAGTCTGGCTTTAACATGAGTGCATTTTCACATCACGCGTGTCGTCGTACCTCAGGTCAATTCCTGCACGGCCGCAGGATCTCTGTGGCCGACGACCAAAATGTAAATCGGGCCCCCGGCCCCATCGTCAGGGCCAAGGAAGCGCTCTATCAGAGCCAATGGGAAGCCAAGCTGTCTGGGGTCGAAGACGAGGAGGAGGAGGGGCACTTCTCTATGCTCCTGGAGAGCCTGGGGGCCAGCAGTGTGTTTGAGGAGTGAGTGTAATCACTCCAAATTTCCGCATATTTCTTTTTTTTTTGGGGGGGGGTGTGTGCTTTTTTTGACTGATCTCCCGTCTTTCCAGTCCGGGCGAGGTGCGCAACCTTTGGGCTCAGCTCAGGCGGGATGAGCCTCACCTCTTGTCCAATTTCGAGGAGTTCTTGGCCCGGGTCACACACCAGATAAAAGACGCCCACAAGGAGAAGAAGGAGATGGAGAGCGCCCTACAGAGGTAGTACTGCAGGACAGTCACAACTATGACTGAAGAGACACATTCCCTCCGAATGTAGTGTTTTACTCACAACTGTGTGTGTGTGTGTGTGTGTGTGTTTATTGCACTTCTCAATGCTGGGCCTGCAAGCCGCATAGTGTTTGCATGGATTTATCTCTAATTCTCGGTGGAACAACCCCTTTAGCCGTGTCAACTGACCACAAATCTGGAGGCGCGCTCACAAGTCAGACCTCCTTCTGCTGTTGCTGAACATGAACACATAAACACCATGCCCCCACAAAGGGCAACTAGAACACACATGTCTTCTTTCATCTTACATTGCAGCCATAACTGGCTGCACAAATTATTATGCTGGTGTTATGCAGCAGAAAGGTGCACACATATCGCACGAAAAACTAACATCAATAACGGTTGATGGAAAGAAGGAAAAGTGATGGGTGTATAAGTGAATAATTCAATTAGGGCAAAATATTATTGGTTACACAACAATAATTATATTATTCTAATTAATTATAATCACATTCAGTGATTATTACCACTGAATTATTTATTATTTCTGTCCTTGTGAGTGTTTCTACTTACATGTCTGCCTCTAAAGAGTGTTTGTGTTTGCAGTAGTGAATGCGTGTGTAATGTCCAGTTTATGTAAGAATTGCATATGAATGTTTGAGTTTGTGGCATTCGCTCACCCGCCGACCACGATACTGAAGATATACGTTTTGAATGCTCTTCATTCATTTGTTCAAAGTGTTAAGCGGTTGGTAAAGTGCTTTGGCAGTTCTCCCGTGGCAGCTAGTTAAAACCTCTGGACTTCACTAATTGGCCGCTTGGGTCTTAGAAGTTGTCAACGGGAATGTAAATACCTCTCAGTAGTCTTTTGAAAAGGAAGCTCAAGCATTTACGTGCAATTACAGACGCGGCCTCAACACAACAATGCTGTTCGGTTTCTCGATGTTATATAATGTCATACTGCATATCTTTCATCAGCTCACCATTAACCTCAAATGCAATGTCTCCGCCGACCCCCTGCGCAGGAAGGCTGCAACACACGACAGCGAGATCCGTTATTTATACGAAGAAATGGAGGCGCAGATCAAAAACGAGAAAGACAGGCTGGTGCTGAAGGTGCAGGAGCTGGAACGCACACACAACCTACGCAGGCAACTCCTCTCGTGTGCCCACCTAGAAACAACAACGTAGTCATCTGGACTTCTCTTCCTCTGACCGCGCAGGACGCCGAGCGTCTCCAGGTGCGCAGCCACGACCTGGAGCACCAACTGTTCTCCAAGGAGAAGGAGCTGGAGCATCTGTTCCAGAAGCAGAAACGGGTGCGGTGGATATCGTCTCATGAGTCGTGGTTAAATGCAAAATCGTCAACCCCCCCCCGTCTCCCTGCAGTTAGAACTCCAGTGCCACGAGCTCCACAGCGAGAAGCAGGAGAGCAACGTGGAGAACGTCAAGCTGAAGGTGACCAACGACGAGCTGTGCCGAGCGCTGGAGAGCACCAGCCAGGAGCTGGGCCTGGCCCAGGAACAGCTGGCCATGCTGCAGGAGCAGGCCGCCCGCCTGCAGCAGGAGAAAGAGATGTGGGTGCACGCGGCGAACTCGCACACACGCTCTCACCTGTGTGTGTGCATAACGTCGGGTTTGTCTCGTTTCAGGGAAATGTACCGAGTGACCGAGGGACTGCAGAGAGAGAAGCAAAGTCTCCAGAAGCAGCTCGACCTGCTCAGGTGTGACATCCGATGAGCTCATGTCTAATGTTTTTTTTTTGGCCTCTGATTAAGTCGTGATTGGCAACTTCTTTTTCATGCTTTTCAGCGCATATCCTCTTTTCCATCCTTGTCCTTATTTTCTCTCTTTTCAATTTCCCCAGAGAGATGAACAAGCATTTAAAAGACGAACGGGACATATGCTGCGGTGTGGTGAGTGAACGCTTCGTATGATTGTACTGCTGCAGCATCTAGCATGGCGTCACCTGATTGATGGGAAATACCTCTCTAACACAAACGTACCCTAACCCCCTGTTTAAATAAGCCCCGGACCTCACTGAGAAAGAAGCAGAAGCAGAGAACAGGCCTCGCCAATATATTTGATGACACCAGCCAGGCAGTAAAAAGGTGATTCATTTTTCTATCCGAATAGTTTGTGTGTTTCCGCCTCAGTTAAATGTGGAAAAAAAGTGTGTCAATGAAGGAAAAACAGAGGACGTCCGATTCTATAATCCCCAGAATTGGGAATTGTTTAGAATAGAGTAAAAACCAAACATTTGACTGTTTTGGCCTCCAGATTTCCATCCCAGTCAAGTGAATTGACCCAGTTTCTCCTCTGTTTCTCCTCTGTTCCTTAAAGAGCCCCGCTGTTGGTGGACGGGTCCTACCAGTCTCTGGAGGCCCTGCCTATAGAGCACCTTCAAATCGTGTTCGTTGCTCCCTCTTCGTGTAGTGAAGATGACACCCCCGTTGCCGCCCCCTTCTCCTCCTTCTCCTCCTCCATCACCACCACCACCACCACCACCACCGTCAGCACCCCCGCATGTCAACAACGGCCGGCAGCGAAGAAAAACACTGGATTAGCCAACGGCCACGCCAACCCCGCCCAGTCCAAGGCGCACGATGTGAAGCCGAAGGCCAAAAAATCCAGCGGAAAGATGGCCGCCACTAAGAGAGTGACGGCCAAAGACAGAGAGCGAGCGAAGAAAGTGGAACTTAAGAAGAAGACGGGGGTGAAGGAGGAAGTCCTGGACGCCCCTCCAGACGGGTGGCCCCTACGTCGGGTTATCTCCATCGAGGAGGACCACCTGCCCCACCTGCTCCAAGGGGGACCTCAACCTTTGCTGCACCAGCTCAGTGAGGAGGAGGACGAGATGGCCGATGAGGAAGAGGAAGCTCAGAGTGACCTCGAAAGCAGCGTTGCCTTGGCGGTGGACCCGTCCGCCACGCCACCCTCGAGTCACGCCCCCCCACCAGCTAGGAAGTCCCGCGTTAAAAAGACGCCCATGGCCCCTCGAGGACAACCGGTGGGAAAGGAGACCCATCAAGTACGTCCACAGCTTTGGAGCTCCAAATGTGTTTTGATCCTCCAGATGTAATTGACCGGATTAACATCAGCTTCTTTGCCTGTTTTCGTCCGCTTCAGAACACAAGAGCGGCGGCGCTGTTCGCCCCGGACCGCCTGTTCAAAGTGGTGCTGGTGGGAAACTCGAGCGTAGGCAAGACATCCCTGCTGCGCTCCTTCTGCGAGGGCCGGTTCCACCCGTCCACCACCGCCACCGTGGGTGAGAAGAGAAACATCGCGGTGACGTTGCGGGGCCCGTGTCGAGAGGGGGTGGGGGGCTGTGTGTTTGTGGATGCTAGCCCAAAAGATCGGAGCGTCACATGGAAGGGCTTGTGAAGTCACGCTGCCCGTCTGAGAGCCCCGGCAGGCATTGCACTGCAGATTATGTCACTTGTGATTCGTTTTTCTCCTGGCTTTCATCTTTCTCAATCCTCACTCGAGCATTGTTACCCCCCGAGCCCCCCACACACACACACCTCCCCTTCCCCTCCTCCTCTGGAATGAGGCACAGTTGGTGTCAACCGCCGTCCCCTAGTGGCCGCTTTCGTCTCTGTTGCTCTGCCACATTTTTTTGTTATTGACTTATTTGTTCTACTAAGAAAGAAATATTGCTCCGCGGTCAAATTGCATCACCCTCTGTTGTTCAGGTGTTGACTACAGTGTGAAGACGCTAACACTGGACAACATGCAGGTGGCCATGCAGCTCTGGGACACGGCGGGCCAAGAGAGGTATTTCATTAGACACAAGTGAATATGTTTGGATTAAAACATGACTTGGATTTGAGAAAGTAATATCAAAATCAACATATAGTTTTTGGAGGATTTGCTGACATATTAAGAATTGACCAACTCCCCCCCCCCAGAAGGAAGTATAAATAATACAATTAGGAATATCAATAAATATAGTTTAAGCACATAGTTCTGTTATTCCTCAAGTAGTTATGTAGTGTACTAAGCTTCAAATGAGTATGTCATTAAGCACTACTACTACTACAACAAGTGTACATTTTCCCCCAAATACATTTCAAGGCTACACCTGTGTGTACAATCAGTGTAGTATTTAAAAGGTTGATATGTTCAAATATATACACCATTAAAGTGGTTTTATTGTGTTGTATATTTAATGGAAACACTGGTCATGTTTTGTACTTGAAGTATATGAGACTAGCGGCTGTGTTGCACACAGGTACCGAAGCATAACCAAGCAGTTCTTTCGGAAGGCCGACGGTGTGGTGGTGATGTACGACGTCACCGTGGAGGAGAGCTACAGGGCCGTGCAACCGTGGCTCAGGAATGTCCAGGTCTGACCTTTGACCCGACAAAGTCCTCTCGCTTTCCTCATGCGGCGGGTTCATTTACTTGCGGGTTTTGTCTCTTGTCTTTGAGTGGTTGACACACGTTTATTATCCATATATTGAGCAAATATCCCCATGCTTAATTTCTGTTTTCCTACAGTAAAACGTAAAAGTGTCTATTTTTGACAACCACCGGACTACTCGTCTTTCAGGAAGCGGCAGGAGAAGGGATCCCCATCCTCCTTTTGGGCAACAAAATGGACATGGACGGAGACAGGGAGGTGTCATTCAAAGACGCTGAGCAGCTGGCTCACGTGAGTTTCATCCAAAGCCAGTGGACGGTTTTATTTGACTATTTCACGCACAATTCTAATGCAAAAGGTCTGACCTCTGTGTAGGAAAACCAGGTGATGTTCTTTGAGGTCAGTGCCTACACTGCCAAGAATGTGACCGAGTCCCTCACACGCCTGGCCAGGTGAGATCAGATCTGACACCTGCGTCAAACAGTGAATGCTGCCGTGGAACAAATCGAATGTACGATAAAAGGACTTTTAGGCTTTTGTGAGGAGAATGATGGTGTCGGTGGATCATGCGCTGTGCTTTCCTGTCTTCACTCAGAGTGCTAATGGAGCAGGAGGACAGGGTGAGAGATGCAACAGTCATCCTGAGTGCTCTGCCCATAAAGAAGAAAGCCTGCTGCAAGTGAAGTGCAAACTCAATTTACTGAGTGTCCGGTCGCTGATTGGGGCGTCACAAGACGGGGATGAGAACCGCGCTCGAACTTTATGGTAGAACGTCTTCGCTTTGTCCCACAAATGCTCCACACGGAGGACATTTTAACGTGGACATTTCTGATGAGTGTGAATGATGAGAGAGGGAGAGCTCGTCTAAAGCACCATTTCCTGTACATAATACTGTGTGGCAGAAAATCACAGTAGTGTCTAAGATTTAAGATATGTTTACATAACATAAACATAAATCATATCTACAGTGTGTATTGCTTTTTCATAAAATGCTAGCTTACAAGTGTTGATTACTTTGTTTTTGTTTTGTTTATGTAATGTAGTTATAATTCATATTTAAGCTTAAAGTGAACAGAATTATTTGGATCTCTGTTTAAATGAAAACATGAATCAAATTCGACATTTTATTCATCATCGTTGTCCACGTATTTTTCTTCTTTTTTTTTCCTTACATATTCTTTGTCCAATCAAAACAAAGTGGTACATATTGCATCTGTGTTTGTTGTTGTTCTGAGGCGTTGTTCAGTTTTATTCTGGCGCTAAAGCACGTTTGTTCTCAATTATCCTCAATTAAAGATTTTTTTAAAATTACATTTCACACCTTTCTGAAATCGATGAAGCAAAACACGGCAATAATGCATAACAAATAAAACACTTAATTTACGGCACTACAAACAGTTACACATTGCATAATACATTTTGACAAATGACCAAAAGAAAAACAGAAGATGACTGTTCTGCGACCTTCTCAACATCACGCGGGTCGATTTTCGCTTTTCATTTAGCTGCACTAACAATTACAAAGACTCATTTATACTTAAATGTTAACATAATTTCCAGAATTTATCTGCCGAAAAAAAAAAAATCAAGTTCATTTAGGATGTTACATTCGACGATGTGACCAGGTCGATCGAGTAGGTGCAGCCGATGGACCCGGTTGCTGATCGATATCTGCCTATTCTGATGACATCACCAGGGGGCTGGCATGACGGCCTCCAATCGGATGCGTGTGGTCGCTCCCTCGCCGGCCTGGTGGAGAGCCGGCGCGGCACCTCCCCCCCCCCCCCCCCCCACCCACACGCTCGAGCGTGTCGAGAGGGACGGAGGGTGGTTGGTCAGTGGTTGCTGCTCCTAACGCATTTTGTAGTCGTGGGAAATGGCGGCCTCACATAGTTGTCCTTTAAAGTCGAGCTCCAGCGTGAACTCCAGGTCGCGCTGCAGGTCGAGGAAAACGTTTTTTTTATTGATTTAATTAAGATTTATGACAAAAAGGTAACATTTACTTGTGTATCTGCACTTCAGTATTTTATACTATTAAACACTAATATCATACCTTTTACTCGGCTACATTTATGCAGCTACTTGTATTCTAGAATCTGAAGAAGTTGCATAAAAAAAATCATCTGTCAGAGATTCAAATCTCTTCCGACTTTATTTCCTGAGTCTTACCACGTTCTTCTCGTTGGGCCTGACAGCAATACTGCCAAAGATCTCCTCTCCCTTCTTGACAGTTAAGTAGTCTTCCAAGTAAAACACTGTCTGCTTCCAGTGTGTGCTGGCAGCATCTGGGGCTGAGACAGAGGACAGGAAAGGAACATTGTGTGCACGAGGGAACGAGAGAAGGGCAGAAGGAGGTTAAAAAAGAAACGAGTAAAGCCGAGAGCGGGTTTCGGGGCGAGCGTGACAGAACATATATGATGAAAAAAAAAGAGGAAAAATTCTAAGGGACACTCGGCTCCCTTGGGCACGTTAAAATGGAAAAAGAACATTTTTGAAAGCGAAGCACCTGAAAGTGGCTCACCAAGTGGGAGGAATACACGGGCTGAACTCCTTCAGTGATGCTCAGCCTCGGGCCCAACAGACTCGGCCAAACATAGAACCTCCTCTACACTGCGTTATGTAAGCACAGGCTGCGTGAACGTATCCACATGAGCTTACGTAACAGCATAATGCAACTATCTTTAGTTGGGGAGCGAAAGCTTCTATTTAATGGATGCACATTTGACTTCTGAATGGTGCTCGTGCCCATAAATTTTGAAAGAGGTATTTGAAAATCATGGGGTCTATTTCCACAGCGGGACAGACGTGCGAGCGTGAACTGAATCTTTTTGGTCTCCACAGACCAGTTGGATATGACTGCTTTTGAATGGGTTGACTTCCTTCCTTTGATGTTACGCATGTATTCACGTTGGCTGTGCCCCCCCCACACACTACCCACCAGTGGAGAAGCCGGTCTTCTTGTGACACTTGGTGAACTCGATGTTGAAGTAGGTGACCAGGGCGTGGACGTAATCGTTCCGCTGGATCTGCAGGCAGAAGGCCGACGTGAAGGACAGGTCCTCCGGCTTCACGGTGTAGATGTCCACTTCCTGTAGCGAAAAGGGGCCAGCGGTAAAACATCGTGTAGCCTACCGGCATTGGCGGCCTGCAACTCCCCCCCCCCCCCTCCACGCTGGCGGCCGTCTATCTCACACGTTCGGTAAACCTATATGTCCGTGCTCGTGTTCGCAATAATTATTGCGCATGCGCGAAAGCCCACAGGTTGAATCACGGCTGGCAAACGAAGCCTGTTCACAGTACACATGCTGTGTGGGTGTCCTCCCTCACGTCTACAAAGGAGGGAGGCTGCCACTGTGTGTTTGTGTGCGCGCGTGTGTGTGTGTGTGTGTGTGTGTGTGTGTGTGTGTGTGTGTGTGTGTGTGTGTGTGTGTGTGTTGGTTTGCGTCTAAATCAAGCGCTGCCTCGCGAATACGGCCGCAAATTTAAGAATCCCATTCCAAAATAGGAGTTGAGACGGCCACGGGTGTGTGCTGTAGGTGGTGTTGTCTGGAACGGGACGGGGAGGGGTGAATTTTACGCCACAACCCGTTCATCTCGCCCCGGCCTACTGGGGGAAATTAATCGCTCAGGCCATGTGGCGTCAGCGTGGCAGATTGCGATTTAACACCTCGTCCTTTCCAATGCCGCCAGGCCGGTTTCATACACAGCAAATTGTGGGAGGAGAGAGAAAAGAAAAAGAAAGATTGTCTCGGGGGCGACATTGTAATTATAGCATGTGAGGGATGAGTGGCAGTTTGAATTAAGACGAGGTGAGGTGTCTGGCGGCCCGAAGAGGTGAAAAAGCCTCGAATACATAAACGCAAAATAGATGGGACACCCTCAGACCGGCGTGTCATTATTTAACTGCTCGGTGGCCGTATGAGTCCGTCTTATTCCCTCCGGTGACTCAATGCCAGCTCTTGTGTGACATCTCTCCATCGCACAGAGGGAGAGACAGAGTGAGACCACCCCCCCCCCCCTCCCCTCCCCTCCCTCATCCCCCCTAATCGCTCAATCTACTGAGGCATGTCATTGCTTAAATCAGAGAGTGTGAGGGCAGATAGAGGGTAAGGAGAAGCGATTAAGAAGGGACAAGTGAGACAACCATATGATATGCAACAAAGAAGGGGGTTAAAATACAAATAATTATAAATAATAATGAAAAAAGAAATCAGAGGGAAGTTATAGTGAAAGAGACTAAACCAATGACATGAAAGGTTACAGGGTAAACAACAACAAAAAATCTATCACCTCCCTAAATACTCTGTATTGTGTTCAATTGTGTGATAAAAGCCACTTTGAAGTAATGGAAGCCGAGCTGGAGACTATTACAGCTGCGCAGGAACCTTCTTCATGTACTAGAAGAAAAAGCCACACCGGACTTGAGGATTGATCGCTGTCTGGGATTTCTATTGGGACGCATGTAGTTGGTAGCAAAAGATTAAAAAAGAGGACACAGACTAACCTTTAGGAGGCAGGCGTTAGTCACCACCTGCTTCTGATCCACCACGTCCACCAGAGGCTCTTTGATGGCCACGTTGCGAATGCAGCTCATGTCGAAGCCGTACACGTTTTCCCACCCTGTGCACAAACAGCGCCCACGGGAAAACACATGCAAAGATTTTCTTGTTGTTTTTTTTTGTTGTTGACTTTTTTATCCACTAGCAAAACTCTGTTCTCTCCGTTCCTGCCAAGCTTTTAGGCACAAATATAAACGTGGCGGAGAAAGTAAAACCAAGCATTTAACCATATACCAGGAAAAACGCTGCCCAGTGGGGACAGACATGGCCGTCTGAAAATAGACGCCTCCGCCTCCTCCACCATGTCTGGCTTTTTTCCTAATATAATTTGGGCTGAAAACACACCGGGCAGGCATTCCCTCCCCCTCTTCCTTCGGTCCGTCCACTCACCCTTGCTCTGCCAGAGGGCCAAACACTAATTCTAAGCAATGAGAAGGTGGAATATGCCGCCGACGCAGAGAGTAACTAAAAATAAGATCGCAAAGGTTCGGGTACATTTAATTCTTTTGGCCATCATGTAAGCGGAGGAACCTTTATGTGGGAAGGAGAAAGCCACCTGTGCAGTGAAAGGATCTCAGCAGGTGTTATTGACCCAGATCTGATGCCCTGGCACGAGTTTGAATGGCACCTTTATTATTGGTCCTTTGATCTGGATCACAATGTTAAGCTCAGCACTCTTGCTGTGATAGATATTAGGACACATACAGGGAGTTTAAGTAATGCCTTCAACAGTTAACACATATTTTTCATTAGTTTATCGATTAGTAACATTTGCATTAAAAGAAAGTGTGACAACTGGCCGATGCGCACAGACGCCAAGGGCCTCAAAGGCTTCACCAACTCACACTCAGGGCAAATGTATGTGTCTCTCTATGGTTGTTTTATGTCTATTTTAGTTGCTGCGTGTTTGTTTGTGGCAATCTTGTGCCTTGAAGGCCATTCCGTGTCACTTTGGTGGTGTCTTGGTCTATTTGGAGTCATTTGATGTTCCTTTGACTACATTTCGTAGGTTATGGTCCTCCCACTTTGTTACCAGTACCCTAGTTTAGTAGTCCATCTATGCCCATTTGTATGGATGATTTGAATAGCCAGGTAGGGAATAATCCTTTTAGCTGTTATATATATATATATATATATATATATATATATATATATATATGGTAAACTGGTATATATATATATACCAGCTTAACTTTCTTTTTTGTTTTAGCTGACTTCAACTCTGGTTAGAAGAGTGAAAAACAAATAAGCAGCTTAATATCTGTTGACCAGGATTCATTAATTTATATCTTATTACCATTTCAAACCCAGACTTGATTGATTGTTCTGCCGTGGATACTTTTTATTATTAATAACTGCTCACCTGCTCATTGAAATGTGACATCCACATGACCTTTTGGTAATGACGTCCTCTATATTAATATAGCTGATTTCTTTTCTAAATCTTTAAGGTACAGCGCTTATTTGAAAGTGGAAACATAAGCCTCATCTGCACCGCGGCCATTCATAATACAGTGCACAGCTTAGAGGGAGACCGAAAGAGAAAAATGCAAACCTTTCATAATTACTCACAATGTATCTTGAATTCTTTGTACTGCCTGTCTTCAATGGCTACCACGTAAAGAGCTGCTCTGTCAGGGAACATCAGGCCTCCAGGTTTCTGAATACAACAAAAAGCTTCTGGTGTTAATGCACACACACACACACACACACACACACACACACACACACACACACACACACACACACACACACACACACACACACGTACACAATCACTAAAAATGTGTGTGTGAGTTTAAAGCCTGCATGCGACTACTGAGGGGAGAGACCAGGTTGTTCACGTATGACCTGAGCATATGGGCAGCAGACACAAGCACAGTGAAGCATCTACTTCATCATACCAGCCACTTGTCCCTGGCGAAGATGACGGTGTTCAGCATGGACTCGTAGAAGAGGCAGTAGCCCATCCACTCCGAGATGATGATGTCCACCTTTTCCACAGGGAGCTCCACCTCCTCCACCTTGCCCTTGAAGATGGTTATGACTGCAAGGTGCACGGCAGGCAACGAATTAACACACAGGCGTGTTCATCAAACCAATGCAGGACAATAGCGCTGTTCTCAGATTTGGGATTTCTGTAAATTTGTATGGCTGAATTACTTCTGGCGTGAATTTGTCTTGTTTTTTTCTGTGTCTAATCTCAACCGTGATAAGGAGATACTAGGAGATTTGTTTCTAAAAGAAAAACACAGCCATGTAAGAGTTATTATTGACACGTTGCCTCGACAATAAATTCAAATGAAAAAAAGATGAAACTAAAACCAGCCTGATGTCGAATATGCAGGTTGTGAAACCCGCCATCTGTCGCCGGTCTTGAAGCTACAGGGGGGCCTTTTACAACAGTAATCAGCGGCACTGAGGGAACTCTGATTGATGGCTGTTTATCTGACATCAGAGGCAAGCTGCCAGTTAACAATCAGAACTGTGACTAACACTGTTGGCGATGGAATAATGACGGAAATATACAAATTCTTCACGCCGCCTCTAATCCAGACGCCATTGGGGGCGGATCTGCATTCCGACAGATAGGTATGACAAATATAGCAGTAATGAGAAAACCCTTCTACTTACCATTGTGTAGGTGATTTGACTTGATAATCTTCTCAGAGTATTCGGATATGCTTGAACATTCAATCTGTAGGGACAAGGGCAAAAACCACAGAGGTGAACTGTTGCATGCGTGTGGACATATCTACATTGTTTTTTCATCATCTATTAACAATTCCTAAAAAATATTTTCATTAGTCCTGAATATATATGTCCACCGTTTTTCTCCTTATAAACAGACGGTAAACCTTTGGGTTAATATCTGAAGGATATCAATCAAACCCTTCCAATCAATGTTCCTGATCTTCAATTCTGTGCAGCATGAAAACCTATACATCATTTTGCTCTGCCATCCATAGGTGTAACACACTAAATTAATTATACATAAGTGTGGGAAAGACACTGCCGGCCATGTATAACCTCTGTCTGGCAAGCCAGATGTTTCTTATTCGCAGTCTCTAAGAGATTTCTCCACAGAGCAGAAGGCCCTAAAGAGGAATTTGTTCATTTTAAATGGAGAAGAAAAGGCTCCGGATGAGAATTAATGTGACAGCAGAGCCAGATGTGACAGAAATTTGGACACTAAAAAGGTGTGCGGATTCTCTCTCACATTAATATTTAACAGCAGAAGCTGCTGGATGATTTCAATGAGGACTAGAACATGTTTCTGTTGGTGACTAAAAAAAAATGGCGCTTCTATCCGTCTCACCCCGTACACGTGTTTGGCGCCGGCATTGGCGGCAAACATACAGAGGATACCGGTGCCGCTGCCAACATCCAGGACAATTTTGTCTTTGAACACGTGCTTGTTGTGGTACATGGCGTTCCGGTAGGTCAGCGTCCGCACCTCGTCCTTCAGCATCTCCTGTTTGAATTAAAGAGAAACCAATGGAGCTTCAATACCGAACTGGTACTAAAAGAATAATTGGATTTACCAAATCCTCGAAGGGAAACATAACTGTAATAGAACATAATGAGCATACAAATGTTCACACATGTTCTTTTATAATGAGGTAGATAAAGACAGTATGTAGGCCAAACGCCTCAGTGACAGCTCCTTGAAATAGAGTAAAACACAAAGCCTCAAGGGACGGCCTGATATCCATCTCCCTCAGCCCTTTCACACATCCCACTTTGTCTTTGCACTCCTCTAATCAGGGCGCACTCTTTGTCTGCAAGCAGACAAAAACTGTCCCACATGCTAAATATGGACGCTATTTAAAAAAAGGTCTGTGACGTCCCCAAACTTTCCCACCGCCACCCCTTCACAGATCAAGGTCATTTGCTATAGTAATTTGCTAGATTATGTAACTACACTTAGATTCATTTTCTGTCAAAAAAAGACACAGATTCTTTTATGGAAAACTCAACATGAGTTATAATTATCCCATATCTGGTTTCTATAGTGATAGCTGGTAAAAGAAAGGTTTTGACACACTCTCCACCCTTTCTTTGTTGGTGGACAGTAGTCTATTCTGGGAGCATCACTCAATTTAATTTTGATACTGTATAGTCAAAACTGAGTGCTTTTTTAACTATAAGTGACAGAAGCTTTGAACACTGCTTAGATGAAAGCCCATCTGTCCGTGCAATAAATCAGGTGACGTGCTTTGAGGTGTTCTGCTGACAGAGAGCCACACTAACAGGGTTAAAACGGGTGTTAAACATCTGGTGCTGTTCCTTTGCCCACACTGATAAAAAGCTGCCCTGCAGCCTGCATGGTCTGCCTACCTCATGGATGCCAAAGTGGGCATACGAGTCAAAGTAGTAGTCCCTTGATGTCATCTCCTCCGGGCTGATGAATTCGGAAGACTTGCTCAGACCAGGACAGGTGGCCAGTGCGGCTACATGAGGCGTGCGGGGGATGCAGGGCACATGGTGGGTCGTAGGCACTGGTTTGGGCAGTCTGGCGGGCTGGGCGGACTGGGAGAGGGGGGACGTGACAGGCTGTTGCCTCTGTTAATGCGGGAGACAGAAGCACAGACCCGAAAAAGGGGGGAGATTTTGTGTCACAACTTTCAGGCAGGAATGAGTGAAACGGCAAAGGGTTTGAGGAGGGTACGTTTAGTCAGTTTGGGTCTGACAAAAAAAAAGGAAATTAATTAAATAAGCTGTCAGGAATGTGCACGTATGGAGTCTTGGGGAAGAGCCGGCGAAAAGATGCCGCTTCCGTTTCAGCACCAAGGACAGCGGCCGCGCCGCCGCGTTCACACGCGTCCGTCCGCGGCGGGCTGATCATTCGAACCGGACCGCATCACCATCATCATCACCAACATTCTCACAGAATCACATAAATCTACCGGGTTCACCCAGAACACCTGCAACGCGCAAAAAAACCGCTCCGCTTGCGCGCCAGCGTGGTTCAACATTTTGCTTCCAAAGGCGACGGCGAGAATTGAAAAAAACAAAAAGGTGTGTACTATTATTCGCACGCATCATAGTCAAATGTGCCGTCCCGTACAAATAAGCATCGTGACATTTGTCCCCGGTCCCGCTGTTTGCCGGGTACGAGGAAGCACAAGGTCCCTACCTCCGAGCTGTCCGCCTCCGCCATCTTCCGCCGTAGCAGCAAACAACGCGACGAATGCCTCAGTCCCATGAGAGCCGGCGAGATTTAAGCCAACAACTCTTTAAAGTGTAGAAATGTGTACAGAAACGTGTCAAATTGAATGAATGCGAAGGGCGCTGTAATACATGTACAATTTAAAGGAGTAAAGGCAACAAAGGGCGCGGAGGCAAGCTTGGTATCATCAAATGAAGTCTAGAAAAGTTGTTGAGTGGATCTGGTGCCGGGTGAGACGCACAGCAATGCCATTCAATAAATGGAGATGGGTGGAAAAAAGGCGCCTGTTGGTCTGGAAAGGTCTCTGCTGCCACTAAAAGGTTGCTGGTTTGATCCCAGCAGGAGTCCTTGCGTGCGCCAACTCAACCGGGGCGCCCCGTCGGGAAGACGTCCTCGTGCAAGACACCGCGGGCATATCTGCTATCTCATTCTTTAAAATATCTGGATAAAACTACTGCAGGAAATGGAAAGTGTCCCCCGCGAACAAAAATACCCCCCCCCCTCCAAAAAAAAAAAAACACGTCTGGAGAGAGAAGTCCACTCCAGAAAACACGTCTGGTCCGAGCGCGCTGCGGAAAGTCCTTTGCGTAATCCCGAAGGGGCTTTTTCTTTTTGCCAGAGAGTAAGTTAAAAGTAAAAAAAAACTGATCGTGAAGATTCCCTCAACACCCCCGCCCCCGACCCTCCCCCCGAACAAAATAAGAAGTATAGCCTGTTTCTCGGCTTCCCAAGGAGAGATGCCTCCTAACAACAGACTTTTCCACAGAGGAAGGAATCATCAGCATCATCACATCGCGGATCAGCCAATGAGCCGCTCGCTTATGTAACACATATGCGTGCTTTCCTTTTGTGTTGTGTAAACGTACGATGTGCTCAATTTCACTATATTGCACTGCTAAATAAAGTGCTTATTGTGATTGCTGCCTTCCATTGTGATGGAAAGCTACTACATAAGGTAAATTGAAGGAGAAATTAGGTGGAAATGTTATCAATTGTGAAATAATTAACAAAGAAGGATAAGACAAAAAAACAATTGGTTACATTTTATGGTTTGGTAGTAATGATGGATTATTGCATGATTAATAGATGAAATACAGTTATATACGCACTATCAGGTATGTGTGCTATAATGAATAGTATCAATCAATCAATCATCCTGATTTTATGTTCAAGCTCTGCAACCAAAGGGACAGGCAAAAAAACTAACCAATCAAAATTGTGTGTGTTGTTCATTCAAGACAAGACAACCGTCTCTAAGCATGTAATTTCACCTCAGTATGAAAAAATATATATTCAAATCACCTTCCACCTGCAAAATGTAGAAAGTATCTGGTTACTTTGGGACTTTTGACTACCGTTCTCTACTCACATACTGTATAATCTGTACCTCCTTCATTAGTCCAATGACTCACTCATTTTATGCTGTAACCAAATATTCAGTGTAAATAACTGAAAATGATCACAAGATTTTTGTCACTAAATAAAATGGGCTTCTGTCCCATTAATGCAATACAATGAAAAAACACCAGGTTTGAGTCACAGTCGTGGATGAGCTCCATCAGGAGTGCTTAAGAACATCGACCCACGCATCACACTCGAGGATAATGTGTGCATCCAACACACACACAGACACACACACACACACACACACACACACACAATCAGTGTGGGTGTAGGAGGGAAAGCTGTGGGCAGACTAGTATTGATTGATTTATATTTATTTCATTCAGTGAGTAACATTCCCCACCTAAAGTGTTAACAGCCACAAGGAGCCCGGGACTCGCCGAGCTGGATTTCATAGCAGTGGGGTCAGAGGTCAGACGTAGTTTTAGGTGACCCCAATGTCACAAGTCCAAATAAAATGGCGTGGAAATGATCTTTGTGCTCTTGAAATGTGTACCGCCATTGTACTAGCCACTCACAGGGGTATTGTGGGGAAGGTTTGTAAATGCCTCCTTGTGAAAAAAAAAATGCGGCATTTCTACCCTCAAGGGTTCTTACGAAAATTGGTTTAATATTGTCACAGATCTTACAGGTAGAAATGAAATTAGAAAAGAACATACGTGTACATGTCTTTAGAAAGAAGAAAGAAATATACATCATCATTATTATTTTAATAAAATGTGATCTGATCACTGCAACAATAGTATCATTAGTTTACATATATACACATACTGTAAAAAGAAAAATGCACCTTATATATCCAGCTATATCCTGGCAGAAAACATTGATAACGTGTAGTTAATATTTAAAGCAGATTTGTTAATAGAGACCAAGGTTTTTTTCCTGTGGTCTTTAAAACAGAAAAATACCTCAGTCTGTTTGAGGTACCGGGGTTAGAATGAACGGGGCTCCATCCGTGTTGTCTTGAAAACCAAAGAATGGATACAGTTTCTCTGTAAAGGTGCAGCGAGTGAAAGAATATATGTGTGATTTAGTATTTGCATCAAAGAAAGAAACCTCTCTTTCATTGCAGTCCACAAAGATGCCGACCTTCCGGAGCTTTTCTTTTAGTGTTAATTTAGAACAGGGTGATGTCGACGCAACATGTTTTCCTTCATCAAGCACAATGTTCCAAGCACCATTTTTTACTGTCAGAGCCTCGTTCCCTCCTCTATCCACCGACTCCCCCACCACCCCAACAATCCACTCAGTATTTCCTTCCACTTGCACCTCGTAGTAAAACTTCCCTGTTGCGAAGCCCTCCTTAGCCAAGACATCTGAAGTCATTTCAAATCTCTTTGGATTGTAGGGAGGTTTCTGCTCTGTGCCTGGACGCATCACTCGCTTTCCGTCCTGACTCACGACAAGTGAACAATGTGCCGTGTCGGGATCGAAAGTCAAATGTACTGCGTGTTCTCTCATTCTCTTCATTTTGATCTCAGGAAGCTCCTCCATTATTTTGTCAACTCTCTGCTTCAGCCGAGTCACGGCGTCTCTCACCGCCGGAACGCTGTGAACGCAGACGTCGGCGCGGTCTGCATTTGGAGGAAGGCACAGGGCCGGGAAGCTCTGGAGAAAATAATGGCAATCCTTAGACTGTGACAGCCGCTCCAGCTGTTCGCCTCTGCTCTCGAGGTCTGCGACCTCCATCCTCAGTTCTCCGATGCGATCTTCGGCCTTCTGCTTTGCCTCTCTGTGACGCCCCTCAATCACTGCGACAAGCTCGGCCTGGCTGCTCTGGATGGAGCGGATCAAGTCTTGGAAGACCTGCACGCTGGCTTCCTTCTCTTTCTCGGCTCCCGTTTGGCTGACGTCGACGGACTTTTCGATCTCGGCTATCTTCTCGTACCGCAACTGCGTCACCTTTTGGATGTTTGACTTGGTCTGGTGTAGTTTTGCCATCGTCGCTTCGTATTCTTCGACGAGCGGGACAACCTCGTGACTCTTGTGATCGTCTTTGAGACACAAGGTGCAAACAAAGGCCCGGTCAGTCCTGCAGTACAGTTCGGTGATCTTACTGTGCGTCTTGCACATTCTGTCATCCCGATTCTTCACCGGGTCCGATATCGTGTGGCCCTTGAGGCCAGCAACTCTCCGATGTGGCTCGAGGTGAGCTTCACAGAATGACACCAGACACGTCAGACAGGATTTTACTGCCTTCGTGTCGGAGCAGATGTCACAAAGAACGTCCGCCGTTACAGGAAGTTGTGGGTCTGGAGTTGAGGCTTTGACTTGAACTAAAGTCTTAAACTCAGCAGCTAACTCGGACACAAACGTGTTGACTTGGAGCTCGGGTCTCTGGGGAAATACCCTCTTGCATAATGGACACTGGCAAGTGTCGCTTCCGTCCCAATACGCCTGGATGCATGCACTGCAGAAGTTGTGTCCGCACGGCGTTGAGACTGGCTTAGTGAACACATCCAGGCAGACGGAACACAGGAACTTGTCCTCTGACAGCAGACAGCTGGCAGTGGCCATATCTGGACAAGAAGTAGAACACATACAATTACCCCTCACACAGGTAAAGGCAATGAATATCATGTGTGACGCACAAAACAAAGGAAATGAAAACAGTTTTCGTCTTTCTTACCTGTAAAGGAGTGAGTTTCGAAAGCAAACTAGACTTTGAAAACCTGTCCGTCAACTGCCTCAATAAGTTTCGTTTCAGCATGCGGTTGGTGAGGGGCTCCTCCCCTGGCTTGGGACTGTTCAGTTCCTGGTAAAAAATTAACTCTTTGGCTTCCATTCTTATGCGTAATAGTGGGCAGTGGGTAAATGAAGACATACTCACCATTAGTTCCAAACATCACCTCCAAATGATCCATCCATCCATTGTCAAACCGCCTATCCTGCACACAGGGTCGCGGGGGGGCTGGAGTCCATCCAAGCCAACTTCGGGCGATACCTCCAAATGATATATATGTATAGATATATATGTATATATATATTTGTGTCCGACGAGTCACAGATAAAATCATTCCATTGTACATGATAAGAAATGTTATATTACTTTAATTAAAGGTACTGTAACCGAACAAATAAAAAAATCTAATCCAAAATTAGGAGGAAATAAGCTCCTGAATCAGATCTTTTAGGGTTTTTGTTTTGAAATTCTAGATGAGAATGACTTGATATTCTCTGCCATCATACCCAAGTGCAGCCACTTACTTTTTTGTAACCTTCTAAAATCGATGTAGTGTTGGCCTTCTGCCATTTTGAAATTATACATTTCTAATATATATTTTTCAGTATGTATTCACTATAGTCAGAAACGTTTGAATCTTGTAATTATTATCATGTGTCATCAATGTATTTAGTTACTTTTATTGATAATGGAAGATGGCTTTTATTTTGAAGGCATTTCCTACACGTTCTTACCGTAATGCCTAAAAAGCACTCGCACTGCGGAATAACGTGGGGCTGGCTTGACTATTTTTTTTAAATGGAGGCTGGCTTGACCGCACTCAAAGGCTTACAGGAACTTACAGGAACCTCCAGCAAATTCAAATTCTGGACTGATGATGATGTCGGATAAATCAGTTAGGATAATATATAATGATACCGTAATTGTCTGCGGCAAGATGCATGGCAATCATGCGAACTGTTTGAGATGTCATCTCTTTTTTGTCCATCTGTTGTTGTCTCTCCGACATTCTGTTTTATCTGCTTCAATTGTGCTGTTAACATCCCCACCTTCTCCCACCCCTTACGTGTAAAGCTCTTTGAGGAGGCCTGTCTGTATTATGGCTTCCAGGCGAGTGTGACCACCAGAGGTCAGGCCCCACAAGCAGAAGCTGATCGGCTGATCAAATCCTTTTGGGCTTTGGGCTTTTATTTCATGATTTTACAATCTTGAGTGACTGTTCCTAATTTCTCCTTTCTTATCACAACACTTCTACTCCTGAGAAGAAGAGAAACAGCTCTAGACAAACATACAAATGCTCAAAGTTTAAAAGTCAAATCAACATCTTTAAATTTGAAATCACGGAAGTCATTGATTATTCAAATCCAAAAGACCTTCACGTTTTCATTGATATATGAACCGGCCTTCCAAATCTTTTCACTCTAATCTCTGCACTCTCTCGATTTAATCTTTGAGAAAATTCCCCAGGGGATGTGTGGTTACAGTGTAACCAAGGTTATGCTATTCAAGGCACGGTGGTATTCAGCTCGTGGGTGAGTGTGCTACTTTGTGGCGGTATAGTGACCCTTTCCGCAGGTTAACACTATGCTGCATTAAAGGACAGTCAGAAAAAGGAACCCCCAAAACAAGATATTTCTTTAGAGGAGGTTAATATAGATGATATGTATTTGTGTGTATCTGTAGATTGAGGGTCTACTTGTCCAGGTTCATAGAAATAACATAAGTTAGGCATACAGTATGAATACGGTACTACACATTTATTCTCTTTCAGCGGAATATGAACATGGTAACTTACGAGTATATTTAATTAAGATAATCTAAAGCAAGATATGTTATTTTTGTATGGCGTTTTGCCTTCTGGTAGATTATTTCACAGTGTAAAAAAAAAAGTACAGCAAGGATGTTGAACTTTGAACATACGAGCGGGCCCTGAAGGCATCGCTCACACCAACCTGCTGTCGAACACGCTCGACTGGACAAAACGCCCCCCCGCTGCAAGCGCCGTACTCTGCGATTTACACGGGGAAAAAAACACGCGACGAGGTGATTTACCACAAACACTGCTCAGGTGAGTACGTTCTCGGCGAAGAGCGAGTCGACAGCGTTAGTTTAGTCGACGATTAGGTACATTTTGTCCAACTTTGTACTGCGCATCAACGACGCAGGTGTCGGGGTCTTTTATCGCCGAGGATGCACGAGCCTCACCCCGTCCTGGGGAAATAAATACATTTAAATAAAAATGTGACACAAAGTTAGTCCTAATCATTTTAAAGACGCACGTTCGCTTGAATTGTGGGCTGCTCGCGAGCCCGCTGAACACCTGCGGCGGTCAGAGTCTCACATCCCCGCAGCAGTGCGTCGCAGAAGAAGCCTTCGCAGTGGGTGACGTTATCCGACATGGCCCGTGAACGCATCTGGAAGGCGACTGTCATTCGTAAACCGCTGGTTTAGGCGCTCTGAAATTGCTATAACTTGCGATGCCATGCATGCTTTTCTGCTCCCATCAATACGGGATTCTTAAAGTGCTACCAAACGATGACGTTTTCACTTTTGTTGACATAGACAGTGAAAAGTTAACGTTAACAAACGTGTGAGTCACCCAATAGGTTACTCTATAGAACACGGTGCATACTGGCAAGAAGAAATAATCCAATGCTAATTTGCTCTCATTAATAGGAAAACTTTATAGTAATAGACATTTTTACAGAAAGCTAGAAGGCATTGAGTATCTTCGAGCATCACCAGACTCCTGCTGGATTATTTATATCATTATGACTCCCTGGTCAACTGAAGCTAAACCTGAACTGGCCATTTCCTTTGTTGCCATTCATTCAATGGCATGCTGTTGATCAATGTCATAGGTCGAAGTACCTCCCTCCCCGGGGCTTTTTTTATTTACAGCAACTCAGACGGTGCTCAACTCATTGATTTCAAAGGTTTATGGCCTGTTGATGCATAATTTAAAGATGTGGTTTATGGATGCACCACGAGGAGATGTGATTCTGAACCAAACGAGTAAGATGTATTCCGCTAGTTTTCTCAAAGCAATCACAGTTAACTTGAATTGTCGCCGACTACTGTCTGATCGATGCGATGTTACGAGGAGTGCAGGTGACATTGGATTTGATGAATCTGTTTTGTCTTTCCCGCTAGTGCCTTGATGTTTTTACTGTATTGAAAACCGAGGTCACTCAGCAAAGCGACGTATCATGTGGTGCATTTCTGTCTTATTTTGCCATTTTGTCCCTCTCGCGTTGACCCAACGATCTGCACTTTCAGGATTGAACTTGACGAAGGAGGATGACGGCGGTTTATAAAGACGACCAGGAGGACTGGCTGACTGTGTGTCTCAAGTACCTGCTCTTCGTTTTCAACTTCCTCTTCTGGGTAACTAAAGAGTTTCTTCATTTTAATTTTTTAAGCCGCCTTCCCCTTCACGACGGTTAGCTTGCATCTTCATCTATTTACCTCCTGCCTACTCGCACTGTGGCATCTCAGCCTCCCTTTTGGCTCAAGTTGCTGAGCTGCAACACAGTCAAATTGCCTCAATGTTCCTTTTTTTTTTTAAACTGCAGACAAAGAGGAATTAGGGCAAAGAATCCATTTAGCAACCGGGAGAGGATTAAGGAGAGCTCCGACTCTTAAAAGGCTGAGCTATGGACTCGGCCCAAAGTGAGTCATGGATTATTGAGGGCTTGTCAGTGTTCGGTGGGGGGACAGAGTGTCAGACGGCCTGTCTGGCACCATAGTTTATGATGCCGCAATGTGCTTCTGAAGGCGAATGCTCTTACGGCTACTGTGCAGAGTGTCCGGGGGAACCGTTTGAATACTTTTTAAAGTCTCAAGGAGGGAGAGTTGTGTGTCTGTGTGTGTGTGTGTCGAGAGAGAGAGAGAGAGACAGATCTGTGTGTGGGAGAAGTTACAAAGAGAAGCAGCATCAGGCTTTACCTTCCGGCTTGGCTCAATACTGATTCTTAGACAATCTTTTTTTATTTTTTGTCCACATGGCACTATTATAACATCCACCAGTCTATGTGGCATTTTTTGTTAGGACATTGATAGTTTTCCACCTATTTAAAAAAATATTTTGTTAACAAAGTAGTGTACACAATATTAATCTTGCTAAGAACACTTTTGGACACATTGGATTGATGCATGCACACTACATTGGATTTTAAACTGGAGTCAGATTAACTAATTGGATTAAATAAAAAGACAAAATGTATTGCTCTGTATTACTACTTGGTTGGTCGTGTGTTTTTGTGAGTTTGTTGAACTCGCTCTTGACGTAAGTGGAACGGGAGGATGAAGGGCAGAGACTCTCTGCGGCATTTCCTCCGTTTCCGCCTTTTGGAGACTGATGACGGGAGCAGATCCCTGGACGCCGCCCTGGGTCCGTTTACCCGGATTGTTCCTAAGGAAATGGTCACTATGCCCCGACCCGATTCTGTTCTTCACGCTTGGCCACAGCTCACTGTTTTTCTTTAGATTTCCTCTTTTTACTCTCATGCCCCTTTTCACTCATTCACTGTTTTCTCATGTTGTTGCACGTTGTGACTCCTCTAACTTCCTGTTACTCACTTCCTGCCCTGTAAAATCCCATTATTTTCTCCCTCTATTTGACATGACACACTTATTTCCGTATGTTCAAGTCATCAAATCTGCCCAGTCTCCCATTTCATAACATATTTCCTGGTCTACCACACAACTGATTCAGGTGCAGTATCTCTTATCTGTTTAACAGTGGCCACGTCCACTTCTTATTTGTCATTCCTTCTCTCTCTCCCTTCTCTTCCAGGTGGGTGGAGCAGCTGTTCTGGGTGTAGGAATCTGGACACTGGTGGAGAAGAGCGACTACTTGAGCCTGCTGGCCTCCAGCACCTTCGTCGTCTCGGCCTACATCCTCATCCTGGCCGGGGGCCTGGTGGTGGTTACGGGCTTCTTGGGCTGCTGCGCTGTCATCCGGGAGCAAAGAAGCTGTCTGTCCACGGTGAGAGACGGGGAAGCCAAATATGTGTGTGTGTGTGTGTGTGTTGTCGAATGAAAGTAAGGCCCAAGTGCTGATAATAGTTAGAGCTTAGGGAATAACGCCGAGTGGACAGATACATTTTCAAAGGGTGTTCCTCTCTGTGCAGCTCCATGACACAGATCCCATCCACTGTACCACTGGAAGCTGAACAAAAACGGCCCTTACTGGGAACTTGCTGTCCTCGGTATTTCACGGAAGACGGGGCCCTGGTGGGAGAGGAGCAGGTGCGAGAGGTTAAGGTCCACTGCCGCAGGACTATTTATAGGGATTTCCATCCAGCATTGACGGATGGAGCAGTAGGGAGAGTCCAGGTGGGCTTGCAGGACCGAAGAGGTGGACGTTTGCAGCATCTAGTTATGCATGAAGTTGGAACGGCTCCCCGTTTTTTGTAACCGTAGTGCTCATCCTGGAGGGAGCGGGCGCTCTTCGCTAGAACCACCAGTGCTTTTGTTAGTCACACTATTCCAGCGGTTCCCAAACTCAAGAATGCCGCGGCCCAATTTGAAATCTGAAAATCTTTTGCGGCCCACGCAAACCTTTAATCACAACTCTGATCAAAACATAAACTAGGGATGATTGAGAATTTAAGATTATTAAAAACGTATTAACCGACAATGTATGTTTTGTATACCATTTTCTCCGTAGCTCATATACATTTACTTTAATACTACAAGAGGACGCACCATTTGTTTTGTTTGACGGCGCCTTTAGTTGAACAACGACAGGCGGACAAGAGCAGCCGCGTCGAGCGAGATCCATATTGTTTTATTGATCTGTTCGTTTAAATCGTTTGCTTCATCAATTAATGTTTCACATAACTAATGTGCCATTGTTCAAATAATACAAAAAGATGTGCGTTTTGTTTCTTATCAATTATCAATCGTAATTTAAATCATAAATAATTTTATGTTAATTTCAAACTTTTCAAAATTGAAAACTAAAATCATTTTATTTATTTATTGTAAATGACCTCTCGCGGCCCACCTGCAGTACCTTCGCGGGCCACCAGTGGGCCCGCACTGCATCGCTGCACTATTCTATTCTTTGTATTCCTCAATATAATCCATAAACCAACGCAATAACAAATGTCTACGCCTTTAATGATGGTTCATGATTATTTAGCGTAATTTAGATTTTCCTGAGATGCTGTGTTTGAGAGTTAATCATGATGCACAATGGAACTGAGAGAAATCCGATTCTACTGCCCGTGGAGATGCCGTCTGGTTGGCCTCCTTGTCTGCGGTGCCATCTGTCTGCCGTGACAGACGCAGCCCAGAGACCGTTGATTTGTCGTTTTCATCGGCCGTCAAGGCTTTACCCGAGCGAGCCGGGTCAGCGGCGGACGGTTCTCATTGGTCCGTTTCCTTCACCCTCGCAGTATTTCTTCTGCCTGCTGCTGATCTTCGTGATTGAACTGGTGGCCGGCGTGCTGGCTTACGTTTACTACCAGAGGGTAAGTAGGAAAATACCTCGGTGTTCTTTTCTTCTAGTTAATGAAACGCGGCGCGCCATCAGGCAGCGGGGACGTTTTGCTGACTAAATCTCCAGGTTTAATGTTTCCGATTGCGTCGGCCCCTCTGGGTGTGTTCTCGACGAGACAAAAAAAACCCACTTTTCCTTCTTTCGCTGTTAACTTATCTCAGAATGGTCTGTGAGAAGATGCCATGCAGGGACACAGACCACAGGGCCTCATTATCACTTTAAAGATACGGGCTCTCATCTTTGTCCCTGCGTGCACACAGACATGTCCACACATCACAGTCCGTTTCCTGCAGTGTGTTTTTGCAGCTGTCAGCTACTTAACTTTTTGTCTTTGCTCCTGAACGTTTTTATTATGTTTTTTAGCGGTTTTCCGTCCATCCGGCCCGTTTGTCCAAAGCGAAATCTGTTTTAATTTAGCTCGAATTCATTCGAATTCTCTGGTCAAACGTGGGAACATTGAACCGCCAGGCGGTAATTCCGATTTAATTTGATAAACTCCATGTGTAATATATTAAGCACCTGGTGGTTAGAAAACACATTTTGTTCTTTCCCATGCTCTCCCACCTCCTCTGGCTCACACACTGGATGTCACTGTGTGTTTGTGTGTGTTTGTGCGTCTCTCTCCCTTTGTTGCTCTTTGCCAGCTGAGCGAGGAGCTGAAACAGAATCTAAACCAGACTATGGCAGATAACTACGCCCAGCCAGGGAGGGAGGCCATCACACTGGCTGTGGATAGACTGCAGCAAGACGTATGTTCATACAAGATTATATCTCACACCTTTCTTTAGATCCACAATCACAGACTCGAGTTCCATCAATGACAGATGATGATGATGATATCAGTGAAATGATAGAATAATGTATGTTTTAGATAATGACTCAGAAGAAAAAACGCAGTGTGACGTGAAATCCTTTCCTCCGTAGTTCAAGTGCTGCGGCAGCAACGACTCCCGCGACTGGATGGCGAGTGCGTACGTTTCCTCCAAGCAGGCGGAAGACCGAGTGGTGCCCGACAGCTGCTGCAAGACAATCACCCCTCACTGTGGCAAGCGAGACCACCCCTCCAACATCTACAAGGTGGAGGTCAGTGGGCTTCCCTGGGAAGCGTTCGCTGGCCGACGGGATGCAACGACCTACTGTACGATTTGAACTGTCGGCCTTTGCCTCTGCAGGGCGGTTGCATCACTAAGCTGGAGCAGTTTCTGGCCGACCACCTGTTGGTCATCGGCTCGGTGGGAATAGGAGTGGCTTGTCTGCAGGTGAGCTAAACGTACTGTAGGTAAGATGGAAGTGCTGCTTTTATAGCCGCGCGATTGTTGTTGTTTTAGACCCACCTGGTTTTGATCTTTCCATTATAGAGACATCGAAGGTCACTAATCTCTAAATTTCTTTTATTACTCCGGTCTCTGTCATCATTATCTGGTTTCCCTCTTTGCTGTTATTTGATTTGTCCCGGCCGGAGATGGACTCAAGCTTTTAAGAGACGCAAAGGCCAATGAGGAACATGTTGGGGGGGCTTTTTTTTTTTCGTAGTTGTTGCTCTGCACCGTCTCTTGGTAAATGGCCTCGTGGGAAACTTGAAACCAAACAAACCCGCATTGATTCTTCCTCGTCGTATCTGTATGACATGTAATATTAATATTCATTTTGGGGGTTAAGAATGAGGCCATACATGTGTATATATATTTTAATGTCCCACATGAGTGCCGTGCGTCGCCCCACTAATCTGTCCATGGTGAATTATACAGTATGTCTCCATGTTTGTGTGTCTTTGTGTGTCCTTGTGTGCGTGTGGCGTTGCTGCTGTAGCTGGCCGGGGCAGTCTTGACGGCCTGCTTTATTTATCTGCTCTATAAAGAAGAGGAGGAGGACTTCGGTACATTGTGATTTAGCTCTAGAGCATCGCTGTGGTTTAATCAACTGGAGAGACAAGGTTGGAAGTCTGATCTCTAACTGCATGCTTGTCCTTGTGCGGCCGCCCGCTCTGTGATAAATGTGAAATCTGTCAACTGCACGCACACTAAATGAACATGTTTGTGTTCTTGCATGGTCTTTTTCTCAGTGTGACGCATGCGGCCGGCTGGCTTTGGCTGTGTATTGCACAGTGTGGCTCTGTATGTGGTGATTATGGGCTGTTGTGGCTGATAAATATGGGATAAACGTATGAGCTTAATTCATCAAACCTAATTGCTTTTGCACAATGAGTTTCTGGCAAGAGTAAACTTCAGTAACTCAATACATTATTGTATTAACTACAATTTCTCCCAATTCCAATTCATTGTTCTATTCAAAGGTTATCTTACCCACTTTTGATAGATTTAGATTTGAAAGAGTTGATGAATCTTATGTTCAATATACATTTTTAGCAGAGTAATAATTGCTTGTCACCCAAAATATAAATATACCTGTATAATATAATAATGATTCAAAGAATCATGATGAACTTTTCTTTACCTTGTTGTGTTTCATATCCCCTGTATTCTGAAATCAGGTTCAAACCCCCTCATGTTATGGTTCTCTGAGCCAAAATCTATTGTTACCACATAGCCATCGCTTGATTATGATGAAGTATAATTAAAAAACCCTGGAACTCCCCTGAAGAGGGATCGTGCTGAGTGGATAGCTAATGCGGACTCGCTCGATACGGCTGCCTCGGAGGGCTTTTAGAGACTCCACGGCTGAATCTGGGCTCTTGCCGATTTTATCCATCAAGCCCAGTGGCGCTAGCAGTGATCAATGTCTATTCCTCCTCTGCACTGTTCTTCGTATGGAAAAGTACGGCGATTCTGTAATCATGTCTCGGATTTATGGTTCTGTGTGAAAAGATTCCCACATCTGATCAAATGTCTTCATGAACAAACTTTCTGAGCAATTTGATTTGGTATTCATGTGCACTGGTTTTGCTTTGTGATGAATATTTGTGCACAAGTGTTCTTTTTGACTCCAGCACTTTGTTTTGTATCTGTTTGTGCAAGCCTGCACACACACACACACACACACACGTGTTGCATGGCTGCTTGACTACTGCCATCACCATGGTAACCAGCTCTACCGGCAGTCCTCCCCAGTCACCTTTAACCCCCTCTCTGTCCTCGCAGTCTGTAGCACACAGGCCCCCTGCAGTCTTCCACGGTGACGGGGAGCAGCACTTTTTGACTTGACGCCTCCTGTTTTCAGGTCTGTGGGATGGTGTTCACCAGCTGCTTGTACCGCAGGATCAAAATGGAACCTTACTGAGCACACCAGACCCCCCCCCGACACCCCCGATCCACCATCTTCGACCAGCAGATGGAACAATGAGCCCGCTAACACTCAGACTTCAGTCTCTGCATCTTGAACTCCGACCGGCTGATTGAAGCCAAGTGCACAGACACGTTCCCGGTCACCCGCCTCGCAGTCCGAAACTAACTGTGGCCTTTACCGACCCGGCTTCAATCTGGAAGAACACGTCCGTGTGCATCATTGCCTTGGCTTAGATGCATGCTTTAGTTAGCGCGGTACAAAATAAATGGACGTGCATACGAACATACATACTCCACATGCATTCTACTGTGCTGAACTAACAATGATCCAGATTGATTTGTCATCTCTTCCCTGTGCAGAGATTTATATGTATTTATTCCATTCCTGTTCTTGACTAAGCAGTGGCACCGTTCTCAAAGGTGTCACTGCCAACGAAGAAAGATCATTTCTGTTCATATATTTGGTTAACACCTCTGTGCCTCTTCCTGCTGGTAAATCATTATGTATTAATTGCGTGCCTGAAATCTTAAAAGAGAGCTGACGACGCACTGTGATAAATAACAGCAAATGGAAAGTAGATTATGATCTTATTTGTAGGTGTGTCCTCACTCCCGATAATAGAAACACTGAATATTAAAGGCCACGATAGTTATGAAAAAGTCACATGAAGACGTAAATGAGAAGATGAGTCATTCCGTCGATTGGTTTGCTAGATCTTTGAATGCATGTCTCCACCTAGTGGTTGGCACCGGTAATATCTAAGATCTACACAATTGTGACCAAGCTTAAGAATTTTTAATTGCATTAAAAACAGCTCTTTAGCTTAATGCGTGATGCTTAAGTTAATCATACATATTAAATTAACCAACATTACTTATGGATTCAAAAGTTTCATCCATAGAGACACACAGCTGTCGTACAGAGTAGAAATTGACTTCACATCTCACTGCTCTTTCTATTGTTGCTGTTGTCTGTTTGACTGGTTATAAAGTGACACGAATATGCCGTCTCAATATAGGTGTTCGTAAGAATATAATTATCTTAGACGGCTTTACGATTAGACCGTATGTCACTTCCTCATGTACCTAGTCATGGGAAGGCCCTGTCACTCTCATCATTAACCACAAGAGGGAGACAAAGATTCTCCATCCAATAGAGGCAGGTCATCGTTTTGTTTAAGCTGAACCAAGCAGGCCAGTCGGGTCCCATCCGAACCTCCACAGTGGCTTTTCCTTTCGCCAGATAGTCTTGCAGTGTCAAGTTGGTCCTCGCTCTTTTACACGTGTCCAATTCCGGGTCCCTCTTCAAAACTGTCGGTGTTTGGATCGGACCCCTTTGTATTCACAATGTGAATGTCTTGCGGTAATGCAGTAATGTAAGCCGGAGTGAGATCCCAGGTCGATTTGGTTACGTTACATTATCATGACGTGTGTGGGCTTCAGTAGAGAACATTGTGTAGGCAACTGTATCGTGTGGAGTCTCCCACAACCCTGCGAAAAAATCTGGGAGGCTTCCCAGTTCGAACCGCATTCATTTGTTTCGCAGTGCCAGGGAAGTTCTGTGGTTTCAGGGTCTTGTTAGGGCAAAGTCTCCTTATATGAAACACTGTTTAATGGCTGTGCGTTATATATTTCTCATTGATGCGCAGCCTTTTCTTACAAGACACCGTCGCTTCGGAGCAAGTTGTCACCGTTTCCCATTTAGGAGGAAGGGCAGAACGTTTTCTGAGAGTTTGGATGTTCTCCAACAGATTGTCTCCAGTGAGCCCGTAGAGTCTGTCAGGCCCTTTTTTGTCATCAGCCTGCGGAGGATGGCTCCCATTTCCCTGCACATGTCTCACACACACACACACACACACACACACACACACACACACACACACACACACACACACACACACACACACACACACACACACACACACACACTGCGAGGCAGGAAGAAGATAAAGGGCACACACTGATACTGATGAGATCAAAACGTGTGGGGCGAAATTTAAAAATGGGCGGACACGCGTTGAAATGTCACTAATCTGCTGACTGCAACCGCACAATGTGCTCGTGCGCTTCTCTAAATCCTAAATGAACGTACACGTGTACTTTTCCAGCATGGAAGCGTGCTTTCTGTGTCGGTTTGCTCGTAAAAAGCTGCTTTTTTTTGGGGGGGGGGGGGGGGGAAGCGGCTATTTGCTCAGTCAGTGCACCTGTGTTCAACATGTGTGTCCTTTTGGCACAATGCATGTGTGGGAAAGGATTACTTGAACACGCCCGTGTGCCGAATGCAACGAGCCTGGAGTTGCACACCTCTGGCGGAAGATTCATTCTTTGAAAAAAAAAAAAAAAAAAGCGTGTGTGTGTGTGTGTGTGTGCGTGCGCCCGTGTGTCTGCATTAAGATCTAACTGGGATTACATCAGTGTCCGGCCATTGGATCTTTGTCTGGGGCCATCGTAGCTTAGCGGAGCCGCCCGCGGCCTCGTGAACATGCACATAACATCAACACTCACAGTTGGAGCGGGACTTTGAACTTATTTCCTTCTCAATCACAAACAAACGTTCGTTGAGGTCTGGTTGAATGTCAGTTTCAGCCATTAAAGGGATCTAGGAAGGGACTTGAGACTGAATAAAATGAATAGTGGGCTTAATTATGTGTGCACAAACTGGTGCATGAATTTATTTCTCATTGTAGACCGTTTTATTTAAACCGCACACCATCTAGTGGCTCCAACAGCGTAACCAGAGGTTTGGACTAATCCTTTTTCCAATATGACATTTTGCGATTCCAGAGTACAACTCTTTCTTCGTCAGAGACTGGTCTCCACACTTGGTACTCTGCCTCACCTCGACGAGGACGCGCAGCCGGCCTGCAGCACATTGCAGAGGCTTTTGGCCGTAAATGTGTGTGACAGATTTGTACAGGGATCAAAGGTGCGGAGAAGAAGTTGGCGTGTGCAAATATGTTCAAGGCTTGGGAGCCTGAAGACGAGCGCCGTCAGCTTGAATAGAAAACCTGCTCGTCCTACCTGGGTAAAAAAACAACAACCTGACATTTAGGTAGATGCTGCTTCTTACGCTACTTTAAGCCAGGTGTCATTTAGCTTCCTCCTTGAGTGTATTTGCAAAAGCAATGTGATTTATTTTGTTCACAGCAAATTAGTCTTCATTAGTTATTTGTTTTCCTATACGTGCCGCTGCGGGGGTTTCAGGATAAGTGCAAGTCCTAAATCAGCGTTTCACAACCTGGAGGTCGAGCCGTAGGAGATCGCAAGATAAACAGGAGTTGTGAAATGAAATGATTCACTGAACTGTTTCTTTTTCTTCTTTTTGTACCTTCTTTTTCTTCTGCATTGATGAATCATTTCATCAGCAACTTGCAAATAATAATGCAATTTGCATTTAGGTTTAGCAAGCAGACAAAGCTTGACTTCACCATCCAAAAATGGACCTACCATGAACTCCACTTCCGGCTTCATAGTGAACGTCCCCTCTGAAAAGCCCCATCATGTCCATATGGTCTGTTAAAGGAAGACATGGCGGCTTTGGTTTTATGGTTTCTACTGACAGCTAACAACTTTTCTTTTTAGCTATGACTGCATACCCTGGACCCTTAATGCCCCCCCCCACAGTTGTGAAAGCTGTGGTTTCTGAATCCGTGTGTGTATTTGTGTTTCACTGTGTGTGTAGGAGTTCCTTTTGTCCATGGGAGAGTGAGTTTAGATGGAAACAAACCTTTTTAGAAAGTGTTTCAAGACGGCCTTTCAAAAGCCTGTTTGTCTGCTGATGATGATGACGAGCGTCATGCTGATGAGGGTGTTGATGGATACCAACCAGATGGCGCGTCCGGCCGCAGGGGTCACCGGGCCACGCCGTGACGCATTGCACCTCCGGCACAGGTACACCGCAGCGGGGAGCGACGAGGCGGCAGGAGACGAGGCGGCACCCCGTTTTGTTGTCGGCCCACGCGATTGGACGTGCTATACGTTGCAGTCCCGTCCGTGTCGAGGACGGGCAGGCGTCTTGTCGGGTCGGAGGAACGGGGCCCCCCCACCACCCCCCCGATCGGACGCCGCGGCGCTTCCATGTGGTGCAGCGGGGCCCAACGAGGCCTATTGGGTTGCATGCTTCAAGTGTCTGTAGTTTAACGTGGCTCCGTCGGCGTCCACTGACGGTGTCGTTACACTGTAATTCATACGGGCTGGTTCTGTTTTTAAAGCGCGGGTTGGAGTCTGTAAACTTTTACAGGCTGGCTGCAGTCCGTCTCCGCGCCCTGCATTGATCTGTCATTTAGAATGTGCAAAGATAAACTCGGCTTTATAGTGTTTTGTGTTTCAAAAAAAAAAAAAAAAAAAAAGCTCAAACATAAAAACTGCAACGACCGGTTTGCAAAAATACAATTTCATGAGAAAAGCACATTGTCTTTTTTCTTTTTTTGGGATTATATGTGCGCATAACTGAGGCCCGTGCTTCTTTACCTGTGCAATGTCCGCATGACAATATCTACACAATATCTACACAACCGGCCAACGAAGACCATGAAAAACCCTGTTTTTCCAGAAATGAGAACCGGCGCGTGGTTCTGCGTGCCGAGAAGGGATACGACTTGTGTAAATAGATTATTCCCTCAACCTGTGTTTGTTTTACGCTCCGAAAGATGAACAAGCGGACATCATATTTTTCGGCGGCAGAAGAGTATTTATCATCGGCACAAAAACACGGTGGGAAACATAAATAGCGTGAGAGGAAGTCTCGCTCCCCCCCCCTCCCCTGAGATTGATAGCACGGAGGAGAGCGCATGGGAACGACCTTGACCCGGCGGTGAGCGCGGACGCAGGGGCGGATAAGGAGGCTCCGTAATCAGTAAACAGGCTCTCGAGTGCCCTTCAGGGAAGTAAACACTTCAGCGCGAGGCGCGCCGCCATTACAGCGCCATCGGCCCCGAGAGTCGACATGCAGGCAATAAAGACAGATGGTGAATTTGTCCGAGCGGAGCAGAAGGATGTTTGGACTTTGGAAATGCATCAAATTTTATAGAGAGTTTCGGCTAAATGACTCATTTTCTGTTTGGCATTTCTGCGTGTCTGGAGGCAACTTCATCGGCCGGTAAAAAGCCTTTTTAGAAGTTTTCTCTTCCACTTGAGGAAGGACTTTTCTTTTCCCCAATAGTTTCTTTTTGTTTCGGAATAAAATATACGGCACCACTGTCAGGAAATCCATGTTACTATGTTTGGCTTTCCTGACATCTCTCCTTGTTTAAAATAGTTTTGACATGTAATATCTTGGCGTATTACCAACCCCCTAATGCAGACCTACAGCTCGTCGTAACGTTCCATGCAACGATTTGTCTTCATCAACTTCTCCAGCATCTGTCATCGTTCATGTCGGTCATCATCGCGCAAAGTATCCCGTGTTCAAGTCTTAAAATACCTTCTAATGAATCGAGAAGTGTATAAACCATGCGTATGGATTTCCTACATGCCGCGTCTAACCGAGGGGAATCGTGTGTTTGCAAAAAACTGAAACTCTTGACAGTCTCACGGCAGCAGCGCAGTCCAGCTATTCATCTTCATCTTCCGCCTTGGATGTAATTCAAGCTTTTTCCGAAGCTGCGCGGCGGCTTTACGCAAACACTGGATGGTTTTCCAATGGGAGGGTGATCCTGTTTGTTCGCACGGCTCTCCGGGTTTTGTCCTCGGAGGACGGAAAAGGTGCCGGTCGGGCCTCAAGGTGTGCAGCTGCGGGAGCTATAAGGTCTTTACATCTGGATATCCCTTTTCAACACGAGGAGGAAAAGTGTCTCAATAAATCAGGATTCATCGAGTTAACATGATTT